CTTTGGTTAAACACCATCCTTGGTTAAAGCTATCTCTCCCAGTCCGCTGTACTAGGCAAACACACAGCTAAATGTGGTTGGAGAAAAATCATAACCATACTGACTGATCTCACCTTACAGTCCTGATCGTTAAACTCCCTAGAGAGTAACACAGCCAGGCAATCATATTCTATTGGCCTAGTCCATTCACTCTCCCTTTTTCCTGGACCATTACACTATACTTTTTCCTCTGTCATCAAACCTCCACCTCCTTTCACATTCTTACTCTCAGATAACCTTGCTTTCTACTTCACTGAGAAAACTGAGACCACTGAGAAAAGAAAGCTTCCACACACCACCACCACCAACACATATATCTAGCTATCTGCTTCTGTGCCCCTTTACTGCCCTCTCTTTCGTCCAAGCTCTGAGATAAAGCTAACTCTGTGACCTGCGCACGCCCATCTTCTGTCAATTCCTCAAGGACATTGCTCCAACAATTCTCCCTCTATCTTAAATAATTTTTGTTCCGGCCGGGCGCGGTGGCTCAAGCCTGTAATCCCAGCCCTTTGGGAGGCCGAGGCTGGTGGATCACGAGGTCAAGAGATCGAGACCATCCTGGTCAACAGGGTGAAACCCCGTCTCTACTCAAAATACAAAAAAAATTAGCTGGGCATGGTGGCTCATGCCTGTAATCCCAGCTACTCAGGAAGCTGAGGCAGGAGAATTGCCTGAACCCAGGAGGCGGAGGTTGCGGTGAGCCGAGATTGCACCATTGCACTCCAGCCTGGGTAACAAGAGCGAAACTCCATCTCAAAAAAAAAAAAAAAAAATTTTTGTTCCTTACTGGATCACTCCTATTAACATAAAAGCATGCTGTTATTCTTCCATATTAAAAAAAATACCCCCATAACCCTACTTTTCTGTAGCATGTGCCCCATTTCTCTTCCTCTTTTACAGCAAATCTCCTTGAAAGCACTGCTTATAATACCCGCAGTCTCCAATTCATCTTCTTCCATTCTTCTTGAATCCCTTCTATAGAAACTGTTCTTTTCAGCAGCATCGGTGACATCAATTCTTAATCCTCATCTTGACCTATTATCACTCAATTTCTTCATTTGGTGTCTAGAACACCACCCTCTTTCCTGGATTTTATCTCACCTTTCTGACTAGGACTCAGTCTTTGCTGGTTCCTTATCATCTCATTGACCTTTAGATATTCAAGTTCCCTGGAGTTCAGTCTTCAACCTCTTCTATTTTCTAACCACACTCATTCTTTTGGCAATTTCATCCAGTCCCATGGTTGTAAATACCATCTTTATATTAATGAGCCCAAATTTATATTTCCAGCCTGGAACTCTCCCATGAACTCTAGACTCGTAAGTCTAACTTCCTACTTAACATCTCTACTTGCATTCTAATTAAAATCTCAAACCTAACATATCTAAGAGCAAGTTCTACTGTCATCCCACCCACTAAACCCTGGTCCCTTTACAGCTTTCCCATTTCAGACAATGCCAACTCATTTCTTCCGTTGCTCTGACCAAAGCCTTACAATCCTCTTTCTTTGTTATGAGGCTCACAACAAAAGCCTCATAAAACTCAAGCCTGTAATCCCAGCACTTTGAGAGGCCGAGGCGGGTGGATCACGAGGTCAAGAGATTAAGACCATTCTGGTCAACATGGTGAAACCCCATCTCTACTAAAAATACAAAGAATTAGCTGGGCATGGTGGCGCGCGCCTATAATCCCAGCTACTCAGGAAGGAGAATTGCTTGAACCGAGGAGGCAGAGGTTGCAGTGAGCTGAGATCACGCCATTGCACTCCAGCCTGGGTAACAAGAGCGAAACTCCGTCTCAAAAAAACAAACAAACAAAAAAAACCCCTGCTGATAGCATCTTCAAAATAGATACAGAATCCAAGCACCTCTCACCTTCTCTGCTGTTACCATCTTTGTCCAAGCAATAGCCTCATGACCTAGGATGACCACATATCTTGGTTGCCCTGTAAAGTCCCTGTTTTTGTTTTTGGTCCTGGATTAATGCTTTCCTTTCTTTTAAAAGATGTCTCACTTAAATGACGTTATATGACCACTCTATTCATAACTCTGCTTCTATTATTTCCCTACTTCCAATGTTCTTTTACACATACATCAGGGTGATCATTTGAAAGTCAAGTCAATCCCAGCACTTTGGGAGGCCGAGGTGGGTGGATCACAAAGTCAGGAGTTCAAGACCAGACTGGCCAATATGGTGAAACCCCATGTCTACTAAAAAAAAAAAAAGTTAGCTGGGTGTGGTGGCACATGCCTGTAATCCCAGCTACTTAGAAGGCTGAGGTAGGAGAATTGCTTGAACCAGAGAGGCAGAGGTTGCTATGAGCCAAGATTGCGCCACTGCACTCCAGCCTGGGTGACAGCGAGACTGTCTCAAACAAACAAACAAACAAACCAAAAACCAGAAAGCCAAGTCAGATAAAGTCACTCCTCAAAAATCTTCCAATAACTCCCAATTGCCCTCAGAGTAAAACTTGTTACTCTGGCACATTCCTCTGTGAATTTCCTCTGTGAGGAAAGAGCCTTTTTTTTTTGGTTACATGAGTAAGCTCTTTAGTGGGGATTTGTGAGATTTTGGTGCATTCATCACCCATGTACACACTGCACTATATTTGTAGTCTTTTATTCCTCACCCCCTTCCCACTTGTCCCCTCAAGTCCCCAAAATCCATTATATCATTCTTATGCCTTGCACCCTCAAGGCTTAGCTCCCACATATCAATGAGAACACACGATGATGTTTGGTTTTCACGTATCAATGAGAACACACGATGATGTTTGGTTTTCCATTCCTGAGTTACATCACTTAGAATAATAGTCTCCAATCTTGTCCAGGTCACTACGAATGCTATTAATTCATTCCTTTTTATGGCTGCATAGTATTATGTGGTATGTCATGGTTTCTTTATCTACTCATTGATTGATGGGCATTTGTGTTGGTTCCACGATTTTGCAATTGTGAACTGTGCTGCTATAAATGTGTGTGCAAGTATCTTTTTTGAATAATGACTTCTCCTCTGGGTAGATACCCAGTGGTGGGATTCCTGGATCCAATAGTAGTTCTACTTTTAGGACTTTAACAAATCTCCACACTGTTTTCAATAGTGACTGTACTTGTTTACATTACCACCAGCAGTGTAGAAGTGTTACCTGTTCAACATATCCATGCCAACATTGATTTTTTTATTATGGCCATTCTTGCAGGAGTACGGTGGTATTGCATTGTAATTTTGATTTGCATTTCCCTAGTCATTAGTGATGTTGAGCATTTTTCTTTTTTCTTTTTTTTTTTTCTTTTTTGAGACAGAGTCTTGTTCTGTTGCCAGGCTGGAGTGCAGTGGCACGATCTTGGCTCACTGCAAACTCTGCCTCCTGGGTTCCTGCTTCAACCTTTCAAGTAGCTGGGATTGTAAGCATGTGCCACCACACCCAGCTAATTTTTTTATTTTTAGTAGAGACAGGGTTTTAACATGTTGGCCAGGATGGACATGATCTCCAGACCTTGTGATCTACCCACTTCAGCCTCCCAAAGTGCTGGGATTACAGGTGTGAGCCGCTGCACCCAGCTGAGCATTTTTTCATATGTTTGTTGGCCATTTGTATATCTTCTTTTGAGAACTGCCTAGTCATGTCCTTAGCCCACTTTTTGATGGGATTGTGTTTTTTTTCCCTTACTGATTTGAGTTCATCATAGATTCTGAGTATTAGTACTTTGTCAAATGTATAGATTGTGAAGATTTTCTCCCACTATGTGGGTTGTCTGTTTACTCTGACTGTTCCTTTTGCAGTGCAAAAGCCCTTTAGTTTAATTAGGTCCCAGCTATTAATCTTTGTTTTTATTGCATTTGCTTTTCGGGTCTTGGTCAGGAAATCCTTTGCGTAAGCCAATGTCTAGATGGGTTTTTCCAATGTTATCGTCTAGAATTTTTAGTTTCAGCTCTTAGGTTTAAGTCCTTAATCCATCTTGAGTTGATTTTTTATAAGGTTAGAGATGAGGACACAGTTTAATTCTCCTACATGTGACTAGCCAATTATTCCATTATCATTTATCGAAAAGAGTGTCTTTTTCCCACTTTATGTTTTTGTTGGCTTTGTCGAAGATCCATTGGCTATAAGTATTTGGGTTTATTTCTGGGTTCTCTATTCTGTTACAGAGATTTTGCACTTGCATTTCCTTCTTCCTGTATGCTCTTCCCTCAGACACAATTATGGCTTACACTTCACCTCTTCCCAGTTATTGCTCAACTATCATCTCCTATTATCTTTCCTGGACATCCAATTTAAAGTTACACGCACACAGACACACTATCTTTCTCTGCTTTACTTTTGTTCTTAGCACTTACTGCTATCTAGCCCGCTACATAATTATCATCTCTCCATTAGAATGCAAGCTACATAAAAGCAGACATTTTTACCTGTTTTGCTTACTGTTGTATCCCTAGTGCCTAGAATAGTGCTTGCTTGGCATACAGTACAAGTTCAAAAGTAGAATGTACAAAAGAATGAACATGCAAATGATTATGTTCCATATTTGATACCATATATAATAGTACATCAATAGAGATATATTAAAGCATGACTTTATCAGATTTGGGTTTTAGGAAATAATAAGGAGGATAGGCTAGTGGGAAGAGATTAGTGGCTTTTGCAAGTAGTTTAAAGGCAGCTGGGAAAAGATGTTGCATCTTGAACTAAGGCAGTGGTGGTAAGAACAGAGAGAAGTACATGGGCTGGACTAGTTGGGATAGAGACTAGGAAAGACAATGGGTGGTAAGGGTGTGTGAGGGTTGTGAGCTAATACTACTTAATCTTATGCCAGAGGTGGGCAGAAAAGTTTAGCCAGCTAAGGAGTGAAAAGAGGGACCTAAAAGTAGGTGTTCAGCCCTCTTGGCTATTGTAACTATCTCCACCCCTTTCCCTCTGTAAATGCCAGACAAACAAGAAAGAGCATCGGAGACCCACATAATACTGTGAAAACAGTTTCAGATTATGTTTATTCTTCTACTTGCTAGCCATAACTGTGAAATGATAGGAGCTACTTAACTATTAGAAGGTGGAAATGAGAAAAACAAAATAAACCTAGACTGATATAAACATTCAAATTCCTTTTGACTATTTTATGAAATAATACACATATCAAAGTATATATATATAGTGTGCACATTCATGAAAAAAAAAATTTATGGAAAGGGAAAGTATGAAAGGTGCCATTAGAGCCAAAAGAAGCTGGTCAGCTTCACTGTCATAGATGCCAGCTTCCCAAACCTTACTCCTTCTCTCTGCCAGTCTTAAATCCCACCTAGAGTCCATGTGGAAAGCCCTGTGAAGTCTGGGGCTATCTCTGGCCTAAACTGTACTACTCAAGAGCTTCCCATACACGTTCTTCTTAGGTTATCGGAAGCCCTAATGAACCCTGCAGTAGTTAGCAGTAGTCACCTTCCTGTATTTCACCTTGGACAGGGCTATAGCCCATAGAGTAGAGTCTGAACATTTTAAAAGGGCACTGGCAAAGGGGGCCCAGCTAAACTGCATCCAGCACTCCCTCTTCATGCACCCTGATCTCTGTCAGGAGGACTCTCCCTTGTTCAGAGGTGCTCCATAAGCTGCGCCTTTCCAGACCTTTTCAATTTCTACAAAGCGGCTTTCCAGGTTATCAGGGCCCTGACTTAGAGGGCCCAAATTGGAGTTGTTCTTCATCAATATGATATTTTTTAAATGCCACAGATTCTCTGGTCCTGTTTGCATCCTAATTCTGCAGCCTTTCCTTATGCTAAAAATCTACGGTTCCTTTTACCTGATTTTTAACAACTGTTAAACAGATGCTGCAACTTACTCAATTAGAAGGAAGAATCCTACAGGGGAGCCTTTACAATATTCCAGGTCAAAAAGTGGAAAACAGACTCATTCACTGGAAGCCGTGTAATATTTTCTGGTTGAGAGTCTGGCTCTCAAGTCAGAAGACCTAAACTCTGCTCTGCCACCATTGGCATAACCTTGTGCAAGTTACTTAGTTTCCCGGTTTGTAGAATAGAATAATGACAATATATACATTAGGTGTAAATAAGATAAGGCAAGAAAATATGTAGTACCACTCAAGAATCCTATTTTTGACATTCCCTGCCTCTGTCCAATGGCTGTTTGTAGCAACTCCTGACACCCTTCTAACTTTTCCTGACCTGCACCACCCCCTCTTCTTGTCACTGCCCAATTCTCCAAATTCTTGGCTTTGTCCTTCAACTCCAATCTTATTTCTCACTTTTGGTTGTCAAGTCCTGCTCTGGATCACTTGCTGTAGTATAACTTGGGGTATAATACTGGCCCCTCCCTAACAGTAGCTGTAATCATTTCCTAGGGTTGCTTTAACAAATTACCACAAACTGGGTGATTTAAAACAACAGAAAACTATTTTCTCAAAGTTCATAAGGCTAGAAGTCCAAAATTAAGGTGTCAGCAGGCCATGCTCCTTCTGAAGGCTCTCAGGAACAATCCTTCTTTGCCTCTTTCAGCTTCTGGTGGTGACTGGCAATCCTCGGTGTTCCTTGGCTTGCAGCTGCATCCGTCCAATCTCTGCCACTTGTCATCATGTGACCTTCCCTCTGTGGTCTGTGTCTTCACCTGGCCTTCTTACAAAGACACCAGTAATTAGTTTTAGGGCCCACCTTAATCTATTATCACCTCATCTTAACTGATTACATCTTTAAATATCCTACTTCCAAATAGAGTAACATTCTGGAGTTCCAGGTGGATATATATTTTGGGGAGCTACTATTCAACCCAGTATAGTACCCAATTTCCCTTTGGTAATTATCTGTCCCTTTGCTGCTCTCCCACAGGGAAGTCTAAAGGCTCCTCCCACCAGATCTTTCCTCCCCTCAGCCAGCATGATAAGCATGTGACCTCACCTCAGGTGGGATGTTTGTTGAATAGAAGAATAATATATTCAGAGTGGGGAACCACTCTGAATTTATGAGCTTTCCTGCCTAAAGCTTATAAATTGGCTACTTGTTTTCTGCATTCTGTGCTGCTCTAGATCTAGGGTTGGCAAACTTTCTCTAAAGGTCCAGACAATAAACATTAGGCTTTGCAGGCAATATGGTTTCTGTTATAAAACTACTCAACTCTGCCATTACAATGTGCAAACAAATGGATGTGGCTGTGTTCCAATAAAAACCTTGTTAAAAATCAGGTGGCAGGTTAGAGGGCCACCCAATCCCTGCTCTAAACAAATAGTGTTCTTTATGCTTCCTTGCCTATTATTCCCTATTCATCCCTCCCCACTCGTAGCCACTAGAACCTCATTAAGGATGCTACATTTTCCTGACAAAAGTGCACCTACATTGGGAACACAATTTGGCATTTGCTGAATGGATGGGTTAGTTCTCAAGAGTAAGAACTGAGGGCCTCCAAAAATACACAGAAAGCTCCCATGGGCAAATACACAGAAAGCCCCTCTGGGCAATGCCCAGAGATGTTAGGGGGTCCTAGAACCCTAGATTGGTAGAGCCACCAATGTGCAACTCTGGCCTGGGAAAGTAGCAGGCAAGTGATTCCAACCCATGAGAGCTACAGCATGGGCTGTGTCCAGCAAAGCCATAGGGCTGGGCCACCTTAGTGCTCCAATGCCCAACTTCTGCCTCCATGTATCTAGAAGGTGGACATTGAGTCAAAGAAGATTATTCTCGGCATCTGGGATGTCGGTAGTTTGCTGGGCCAGGTTCTGCGGCCTTGCTTCTGTTTACTTTTCCACTCCAGGCCACGATGCCACAGTAGCAGACCTGCGAGGAGTTCAGCCGCGCTGCGGAGAAGCATTACCTCGCTGATCCTATGGAGGTATGTATGCTTCTCAAATATAGGCATACTGATGGGAACTTGTGTATTAACAGATGATTTAGTTAGCAAACTCAAGATGTAAAGAAGATTGAGAAATTCTACAGTCAACTAATGCGACTTATGGTAGCCAAGGAATCCCAAAATGTTACCATGGAAACTGAGCCAATGGTTTGAAATGAAGACTTTGTCATGTACTTAGGAAGTAATTATCTTTTGAATTAGAGAAAGTGTTGGGACAGAAAATACTTTATGTAACTAAGTGAACTATTCAAAAGCTTAGAGGTCATTTTTTGTAATTTTCTTTTGAATGTTTGCTTTAGAAAGCTAGGAATGGGAATGTTTTCAGTTAGAAAGCCTGTATTTACTTTTGGAAATTGAACAAGAAATGCATCTGCCTTGGAAACTTTGCAGATTATTTGATGTTAGATAAAACACATAATTGTTTCTCTGACAAATTTGTATCAGTAATTTGAAATTGAGATAGGAAGAAAAGCCAATTCTTCCTTAAATTTAGTTCATCTGTCTTTAAAAGAACATTAAATGTAACCATTTTGTTGGATCGATGTTTTTCTTTTGGAGCATAGAATGTATGCTGTTGATGACCAATAAATATAAAATATGGTAACTGGAATTAGCTCTGCACCATAGTATGCATTGTTACACATATTATCCACCTAATTGTGTATAGCAGTGTAGTCTCAATTATATCTAAAAGTAATTGACTAACGAGTATGCTTTGCCTTCTTTCCAGATTTAAACTACCTTTTAATATAAGGGATTTGTAGTAGTATCAGCTTGTTGAGCAATGACTTCGAATCTAGTTTTCAGAAGCAGCAGTTATTTGAGTGCGTGAATGGAATGATGATCACTGTAATGTACTGAAACCACCATATTACAGAAATATTTGCTACTTATTTTCCATCTGTAGTTTCTCAGAAGGGCTATAGATAATTTGAACTGCTAAATTTTTGCATACTTCTGTGACACCCCTGCCCATTTTCACTCTTTATTTAACCAAGGTGTTAGGTGTGACTGTCACAACTGTTATGTTTTCCAGTAAACAAGAAGTATGATATTATCTGATACTTACATTTGTATCCTAAATTTCACCACCTAAATGTAATGTTCACATGTTGATTCCTCAAGAATGAAGTGAAGGTACTACATTGAAATATGTTTTGTAGAAATTTGTCATGTTGAGCAACATTTTAGTATGGTAAGTTCCCTTAGCTATATGAATTTTGGCATGTTTCAGAGAGATGAGCAAATAAAATATTACAAAAAAAAAAAGAAGATTATTCTCAACCCTTGAGACTTAATGTTGTTTGTCTTGTTGGATTTTGAACTTGGGATCTGTTTCTTCATTCATATTTCTCCCTTTTGGAATGGGAATATCTATTCTATGTCTGCCCTGTTATAATTTAAAATCACATAGCTTCCTTTCACAGGCTCACGGCTAGAGAGAAATTTGTCTCAGGATGAAATATACCTTGAGTCTCATCCATATTTGATTTAAATATTTAAATGAATATTTGCACTTTATACTTAAATTGATGCTGGAGTGAGTTAAGACTTTGGGGGTTATGGGGATGGAATGAATGTATTTTGCATGTGAGAAGGACATAAATTTTGGAAGGCCAGGGGTGGAATGCTATGCTTTGAATATTTGTGTCTCCTCCAAATTCAAATGTTGCAATATTAACCTCCAAGGTGATTACGAGGTGGGGTGTTTTGCAAGGTTATTAGATTATGAGGGCAGAACCCTCTACAGGGATTAGTGCCTATAGGAGCACATTTACCTTTTCTCTTAGGTGAGAGCACAATAAGAAGTCAGCAGTGTGCAACTCAGGAGAATCTGTGACCATGCTGGCACTCTGATTTGGACTTCTCAGCCTCCAGAACTGTGAGAAATGACTGTTGTTTATAAGCTACCCAGTCTATGATATTTTCTTACAGCAATCAACTGAAATAAAACGGGCCGGGTGCGGTGGCTCACACCTGTAATCCCAGCACTTTGGGAGGCCAAGGCGGGTGGATCACGAGGTCAAGAGATTGAGACCATCCTGGTCAACATGGTGAAACGCTGTCTCTACTAAAAATACAAAAAATTAGCTGGGTACGGTGGTGCGTGCCTGTAATCCCAGCTACTCAGGAGGCTGAGGCAGGAGAATTGCCTGAACCCAGGAGGCGGAAGTTGCGGTGAGCCGAGATCGCGCCATTGCACTCCAGCCTGGGTAACAAGAGGGAAACTCCTTCTCAAAAAAAAAAAAAAAATACTCCTTCTCAACTGACAAATGCTCCTTTAAGATGATTATTGTTTTGTTTGTTTTTTAGAAACTGGATATTGCTTGGTTGCTTAGACTGAAGTACAGTGGCATAATCACAGCTCACTGTAACCCCAAACTCCTGGGCTCAAGTGATCTACCTGCCTCACGTTTCCTGAGTAGCTGGGACTACAGGCATGCACAAGCATACCTAGCTAATTTTTTATTTTATTTTGTTAGAGAAAGGGTGTCACAATGTAGCCCAGGTTTAAAATGATCATTGTTAATTGTATAATGCTCCTAGTCCCTTCTCAAGATGCCAATGTTGTTAAACTGATTCCCTCACAGGATGGTGCATTTTATTACTTAGACCAAATTCCATCTATCCCAACTGCTGCCTGTCTTAAAAATGTATTCTTCCTCTGTAAGTTACACTTTATTTCTAATTATGGCCTTCAAATTTTTTTTATTTGAAGAAGCCCTTGTTCAAACCTTTCTATATTTGTAATGACCTGTTTGCTGCTCATCAGCCACAGGTCAACTAACCTGGGTGCATATTTATTTTGCTACATTTCCTAATGACAACCTACTAACCCATCTATCTCATCATATCAATTCACTAATTCCTTCCCCTAAAACGAAGCACTGTACAGAAAACAAAAAATATATCCTTCACATATATTGCTCCTGTGAATCAAAAGGCAAAATCTTTGCTTTGGTCTGTACAGGAGAGATCTCTGGGACAGCTTCCAATGTGTCAGGGAGCAGAGCAAAGCTTTTGGTGGCTGACAATGGACACTAGGGAAACACAATACAAGTCAGATGCAGAACTCCTCCAACAGGTGACTTTGGCTCAGGGGCTCCCCACCAACCTGGCAGAACATTTCTTTGAACTGTACCATAGTCTGAGGTTCTCTCTATTCAATCCTTCCATCCTTCTCTCCTTCCTCAGGTATCAGATCTGCATTGTGGTCTGAAGAATTCCTACCTTCCCCTGCTCCTTTGCCCATTATATCTTTTGCAAGTCTAATCCTATCTACTTCTCAGGAGACCCTAACTAATGATCTGACAATCTTTCAACATACAATCTCTGCGCTACCAAAAAAAAAATCCTGATGATCAATTTCTAGAGCTATCTAGAAGTAATCAGTCCTGTGACATTCTGCTTCCACTTATTCCCTCCATTTGACTCTATTCTTCACCTCCAGCAACAGAGACAGGGACCTAGAGTACACAATAGAAAATGTGCTATATTCCTACTGACACCCAGGCTAGCTGACAATAGGAATCTATGAACTAGATGTACATATAAAACCGTGGATAGATCTTAAAATAGCATGGAATGAAAAAGAATCAATAAAATTTATAGCATGATACCACTTAAAAAAATTAAAAATAGACACACAAATAACACTGCCTGTTTTTCAAAGATAAATACATAACTAAAAGTATGTAAGAAGCATTAAATATGGTTGGGATAAGGGTGGGGCTGGATTAAAAAAAACTGAGAAAAAATAAGAGAAGACTCTTGTATAGACCAGTGATGATGATGTACTTCGACCTGAGAAATATAATCAATGTTATAAGCCTAAGGTCTAAAGGACAGAAAAGAAAAGAGGAAGAGAGGAAAGACTTCTCCGACACAAAGAACTGGTGAGCTCTCTAAGGAATTAAGACTACCATCCTCCTTAAATTCACTATCCCCAATCTGCTGCCTTACAGCTAAATACGAATATATCTAAAACAGAGGAAATGCCTTCTTAAATACAAATATATCTAAAACAAAGGAAATGCGTTCTTAAAATTCCATTCTGGCTGCCTTTTAAGAAAAGCCTGTCTATTAATTATATATAAACAAATCATGAACAAAGATTATTATGTTTTTTAAACAGACCCACTAGAAATAGCATTCTGTTGGTCTAATTAAAACTTTACTTCAGAACAACCCCTAACTTTTAATTGGATCTTAATATATATTCATTGCTGGGCATCAATAACAGCAGAGCCTTTATTGATGACTTTATAAGCACCACATAATTATTTCTTCCAGTGCCAAAGTAAACCCTAAGTAGTGCTGTATTTGTGATTTTTATGATGTATCAAATTTAAATGTGAAACAGTAAATTTTTACAAATAAAATCATTTGCTGGAAAGTACTCAATTATATAAGGATCAAATGTCTACACAAATATAAACATGAATTAGCATTTAAAATCTCCAGATTTGGTTCTCTGGAAGTAAAGGCACTATTACAAGGGAGAATTGAAATTAGATGTCTCCACAGTTCTCTACCAATAAGGATAGGACTGTTCTGAAAACTAAATTTAACAATCCATTTAAAGGGTTCTAATTAACAAATAATTATGTAATTCAAGATTTTCTTATTTGGGTCTGTAAAGTCACCTCTCTATGTTGTTAAAATAAGTGATTATTTCAGGATGTGATACAGTAAATTTACTATAATTAGTGGTAATATTTCTTTCCAATCGTTTTCAGATTCAAAATGCCTTTACCCATAAACAGATTTAAATTAATATGGTTTGGCCTTTGTCTAGGAGTATGATCAGAGATGAATGAAATGAAATCTTATTTCAATTTGATGATTATTTAATTTGCTTGACTCTAGCAGTTTCAATTTTCATCCTTTTTTGTTCAGATATGAAACCTTATAATAAACTACTTTAAAATGAGAAAAGGAGATTAACAAAAATGATCACCAGGCACGGTGGCTCGCGCCTATAATTCCAGAACTTTGGGAGGCCGAGGCAGATGGATCACGAGGTCAAGAGATCAAGACCATCCTGGTCAACAAGGTGAAACCCCATCTCTACTAAAAATACAAAAATTAGCTAGGCATGGTGGTGCACGCCTGTAGTCCCAGCTACTCGGGAGGCTGAGGCAGGAGAATTGCTTGAACCCAGAAGGCGGAGGTTGCGGTGAGTCGAGATCGTGCCATTGCACTCCAGTCTGGGTAACAACAGCGAAACTCCGACTCAAAAAAAAAGAACACTTTTTGTATTGCTTCTATGGCTTTTAACTGTAAGCATCTTTTGCTTCAAATAACATTTCGAATATGTGAACAACAGGTGTTTCTTTTAAGATTTACCCTGTGGAAAAAGGCTTTATTTTGGCAAGTCACCTATTAAGTCTACAGCTATGCAGGAACTCAGACTCAAGTGCTGACGGGCCAGATCCTTGAGCTTTACCTAGAATAATAACAATCTTAAAACTATTTGTTTATATCATGTACAGAAAACTGTTAGCTCTCTCACAGTCTTTTATTGCCCTGGAAAATCCCAACAGATTTCTAAAACTATACTTTGATAATGTCTATACTTTCATCCAAGAGCTAGACGCCTCCCCCCCAAAATAAGAAACTTAGTGGAGATAACTCACTCAACTGGTGTCTGATCAAATTTCTATGTCTAAAAGTATAGAAATCTCAACTATTATGTTCTAATTAGTCTTTATATTCTATGAAGAAAATGTCCCCAAAGACAAGTCACCTTGTTCAACTACATTTTCAGAGAAGATAATAGTAAAAGTAAAAACTGAATCTGACCTTTCTGGCATTAGTTTGAAAATCATAAGCCACAGATATTTTAAATAGCATATTTCTAATCATCTATTAATGACAGAAACAATTTACTGTGAAATAAGAATGTAGAAGGAAAACCAATTAATTTTTCTATATATTTATGTATCTTTACAAACGGTCTATATTACAGATAAAGTTAACTGAATAAAAGCAAATATGCTGAAATTTTTGACAACTGTTAAATGAAAATATTCCTAAAATCTTAATTTTTCTTGGGAAAGCAGTTTAAAACTGTAGTCTATTTAATGAGGTCGCCATCTAGTGACAGAAAAGAGCACTGCAGACAATATTTTGCATTAACTGAACATCACAGCTATTCTACACAAACCGACTGAACCTCCTGAACATTTTGGAATGCTTAAAAGGCACTCAAAAGACTGTCCGAGAACGCCTCGAAGACCCTCGGAAGGTCCCCCTCTCCTCTGGACCGCACCGGGCGTTCGTTTGCCTGCGCCGTCCTTCCACTCTGCTTGCCGGGCGCACAGCGGCTTCCGGCTGCGGTCAGCTACAGTCCCCGGAGGCGGTGGTCGCTGGCCGCGGGAAGGACGCCGCGCTAGGGGTCGAGGCTCGTCCTGGCTGTCGGGCCGCCTTGTGACGTCACAGCCCCATGCCCTCGGGCTCAGGGCCAGAGAGGCTCCGGGCTTCCAGGACCCGAGAGCCAAAGATATTCAATGGGAGAGAGTGGGACTGGAGGAGGCAACGAATAGGTCCCCGCCATCTAGCCAATAACGCGTTGCTTTCAGTCACGTTCCGTGAACCGGCGAAGGCAAGTGAAAAGATGAGCTCAGGTACAGAGAAGCCCGCGAAGGAAAAGCTCCCGCCGTTTCCCAGGAGCCCCAGCGGGGGTCTTCCGGTTGGACCCCTGCCTCTGCTGATTGGTTGGAGGTCGCCACCACGTGATGCAGACCCGGGTCGGCCTCCGCTTTCCCCGCCCCTCTTATCCCCCTCCCCACCTGGAGGTCGCCTGAGGCGGAGAGCCGGTTACCTCGGCAACCGCGGCAGGCAGTCTGTACACACCAGGCCTGGGGCGGGAGAGGGTTTCCTGCCTCCTGCGGCAAGACAGGGATTGGGAAGTCGGAGTGGACTCTGGCTTGAATCGGATTGCCCCTGAATCCATCCCGTCTCTGTGATAAGGTGAGAATCCGTCACCTGGTGGCCTTCGGGCGTACATTACCTGTAAGCAGAGCCCCGTGAGTCTTTGGTCCCCTCTTTTTCCTTCCAAGCCATACCAAGAAGACGCCAGTGAAGCAAAGTCTAGGGAACCCCATAATGGTGCAATGGAGATGGTAATGATGAAAGACAGTGAGGTGGCTTTATTGAGGCAGTCAGGGTACTAGAACAAAGCTCAAGAGAAGGAAAGGGAGGGTGGCCTGTAGCCAACAATGCATCCTTTACTGCACCGGTTAAGGTTCTAGGCTGGGAGAACCAAGTGCTCCCTGACCAAACCTGACACTGCTCATCTAGAGAGTGAAGTGGGGTTATTTGGACCATCAGTGATAACTGATGGATTCTGATCCTTTTATACCTAAGCGAGGAAATAATTTGACCCATACAGGACTTCTACTGTGTGGAAAAAAAATAGTTTTCTCAGATTGACACCCTACCCAACTCTCATGGCAGACAGAAACATTGTCCTTTATACTCAGATTGTCATTGTACTCTAGTCATGGAGAACAATTATGTCTTTAAATTATACCATATGCCTGTGGCATGACAGCGCATTAAACAAATTTTTTTAACACCTAGCGTGTGCCAGGCAATAAACCTGTAATAGGTTCATAGTTTCTGCCCTCAATGAACATGTAACCTAGTAGGGAAGAAAGGCCTGTAAACATTGCATTATAGTGTGACTTATAACACTACTAGAGAGAATGAAAGTCTTCCCGAGAAGATACTTGATTTAAATCTTTAGGGAACTATGGAATATGCCATACAGCCAAGGGAAAAGGACATTTTAGGGAGAGGACGCATCCCATCCGGTTCCAGAGAACAATAGTTGTGGCCTGAACCTTTGTGGAGGTTGTGGTTGATGAGCATGTGCGGTAGGCGGGAATTGGAGCATGGAAACCATGAATACCTTCCAAAGAGGTGTAGCATGAGCAGCTTTACCTTTAAGGAGACTGTCACAGTAATGTAGAGGATGGACTGGAGGGAAGACAGACTGCAGGGAGGACATCCAGTTAAGGTGAAGTGATGAGGATGTGAACCAAGGCAGAATTGGAGTAAGGAGGAAAAAAAATGTAATAAGACGTTTAAGAGGTATATGCAGAAGGACTGAATGAACCTAGGGTGACAGAGTAAAAGATTGGTTGAGGATAATAGCTCAACCAATAAAAAGGTGGTAGTGTTATTTCAAGAGAAAGCATACATTAGGAGAAGCAGGCTAGTTGGAAAATATGAGTTCAGTTTTGAACACACTGAATTTGAGATGCCTGTGGCACATTCAGTTGGAGCTTTTTCATGTGGGCAGTCGGATTTTTTTTTTTTTTTTTGCACAGAAGAAGATAAGGATTTTTCAGCATGAAGAAAACAATTGGTTTGAAAAGCACAAAGTAAATTTGAAATAACAAGTAGAGAGAAGCCAAGGAGAAAAGACGAACCAAAGAAGAAAAAGGAGAGAGTTATCAGCATTGTTAAATACCATGTCAGGCACAAGTTGAGAACTGAAACGTCCACTGTCTTTGGCACTTGGAAGGTTATTGTTGACCTCGGTAAAAAAATGCTGTAGTAGCTGGAGGTGTCCTCAGTCCAGATGGCAGTGAATCCAGGACTGAATGTGGTAGCGATGTGTTGCTAAGGATTATCTAAAAGCTTCACCATAAAGGTATCTAAACCCAGCTATTTTTAGAAGAACATGGGAGAGACTTTTTTAAGATAGGAAAGACCTCATATTTATATACAAAATAAAAGAGACCCTTGAAAAGGAAATATGGGAATAAATGAAAAAGGAAAATTTGACAGTAATATTCCGGGAAAGACAGATAAGGATGGAATCAATACATAGAAAAAGGGATTTGTTTTGGACAAAAGGAAGAACACCTACTAAGAGAGGAGTCAGAAGGAAAAGAAATACATAAACTTTGAGGGGAAGGAAATAAGAAATGTGCATGTGATGGCATCTCTGTTCTCTATGAAAAGGGGGTCAAGATCTCTTTTGAGATAGAAAGAGAGACCTTGAAAAAAGTGATAAAAGTTTAGTCAGTAATGTAATGAATCTTGAGTCTGTAGTCCTACTCTCTTAGGAGAGAAAGTTGAGGAAAATATAAAACATTTATTGCTAAAGATCTAACTGAAGTTAGAGACCATGCATTTGCAGTAACTTCAACTCCATGCTGGTTAGGTGAAATTTTCCAGTAGCAATACAAAGTGGAAAGATTAATCCAAGAGTTGCAGTGTGAAGTGTAAAAGCCATAGAAGTTCCTGATGGCTTCTGGTTTTGTGGAGGAACTAGAGAAGACCTTCAGCCTCTTAAACGGTCTGGCCCTGAAAGAGCTTCAAAGAGCAGGAGAGTGGGTACAAGCTGGCCAACAGGATATTCACCTCTTGATGGAGTCAGAAACTTCATCTGAAACACTTGAGCCCATTTGTGACTGGAGAAAGCATATGAGACTTGTACATACCAAGAAGGTCCAGTATTCTTGTGATTCAGAAGTAGTTATACAACTTACAGAATTTGGGATTTTAAAATTAAATTGCATTTTTCTAATTAACTGTTGAATTACAACAAGATTTTCCGCTAGATAAGGGCACCGATGAAGAGAAAATAAGGTGAAGTGAGAGGTAAGATTTATATCCCAAATAGGCGTATTTTTCTTCCAAGGAAAAGTAGTTCCTTAAATAGAGAGCTATACCTTGTTCTTGAAGATGACTCAGAACTGTAATATGAAAGTTCTCCCTAAATTAATCTTTATAATGCAACCTCAATAAAAATCCCAACTGAATTTTTTAAAATAAATACAAAATAATCATAAATTTTATTTGGAAAAATAAACATGGAAGAATATCCAGGAAACTGCCAAAAAAAGAACATGAGGTGGGAATTTACAACATAAATCACAGTAATTAAAACAGGTACTGGTACAGGAATAGACAGAGCTAAGGAAAAACACAGATTAGAAAGTCCAAAATTCGGCCCCAGTGTATGTGATCATTGTATAACAAAGAGAAGGATTTAATTCCTTCTAGAATAGATATCTTGGATAGAGACAAGGTAACCTAGAACACCATTTGGTGAATTTGGAGCTTTGAAGGGAAGCCTTTGTCCTTTGTGTGGGGGTGGGCAGCTAAATTATCCTTTGTTATTCACAGACTTTAATCCAGAATATGAGGGTTTCTCTTCCAATGAGTAGAGGTGCTGCAAAACACTTTTTTAACTTGGTGCCCCATTCAAATGAACTTAGAGAGGTAAGACTATGGCCTGCATCTATGTATGGGCCTTTGATGCAGTCTCCAAATTCTTTCAGGTTGCGTTCTTGACTAGCTTCTCTTGCAGCCTGTGCTGTAATATCCTGAGGTTGTCCAAGAATGGGGTAAAGTTGCAATTGCCAATGGGAAGTAGAGAGGGAATGCACAGCAGCTCCTTCAATATAGACCATTAATCTAACCACTGTCACCACTGCCACTACTACTGCCCTGCTTCCATCTCCATCCTCTCCCACTTACATTATTACAACTGCCCATTAACTACTCACCCTGCTTCTGCTCCAAACCCTATAATCTACTTTAAACAGAGTAGCCAGAGTGATTTTTTTCAATGCTTATTACACTTCATGTTACTCTTCCACTCCAAATCCTTGTATAACTTTTCAACTTACTCATAATAAAATCCAAAATCCTTACAAAGTTCTACAAGATAGCACATGATTTGGCCCTCTCTGACCTCACATCCTCCTAGTATTTATTTATATCAATGTACTCCAGACACATAATTTTCTTTGCTATTCTGAAAACATGCCAAGTATACTCTTACCACTGCCGCCTTTTTTTTTTTTTTTGCATTTGCTGTTTCCTTTGCTTAGCTATATTTTCTACAGATTCCCTCATGGCTCACACTCACACTCCCTTATTTCCTTCATTTCTTTGCCATGATTTCACCTTATCATCTGATAAGGTCCTGATCTTCTCCTTCCTCCCACCCCTGTCATTCTCTGTCTGGGGTTCTGTCTTATGCCTTCAATATGAATATTAACAAATGAATGAATGAATGAACAGAGTCCAGTGTATTAGGATAATTTGCTGACTGTATTTTTCTTTGTGGTGCTAGCTAGAGTCCCTTCCCTCCTTCTTGACTCAGCATCTTAGTCCATTTCATGCTGCTGTAATAAAATACCTCAAAGTGGGAAATTTAAAAACAACAGAAATTTATTTCTCATAGTTCTAGAGGCTAAGAAGTCCACAATCAAGGCATCAGCATCTGGTGTCTGCTACCAAGATGATGCCTTGAAGTCTGCCTCCTCTGGAGGGAAGGAACAGTATGTACTCACATGACAAAGTCAGAAGAGGGCAAAAAAGCAATGAACTTTCTCCATCAAGCCCTTGAAACAAGCAGCTTATGGGCACCTAATGCCATTTGGAAGGGGAGGAACCCTCATGACCAAATTACCTCTTAAGGGCCCGCCTATTAGTACTATCACATTGACAACACCTGAACTTGAAAGGGGACACATTCAAACCATAGCACTCAGCATGGTAGGACAATGTCCCCAATTTACAAAGCATGAGTAGAAATACAGACTGTATGTAGTATTCTGGTACATTTCTCAAAGTCCTTTGATTTGGTCCCTTATATATGATACACAGCTACTCCTTTCCTAACCACTGCTGCTCTGAGTTTGAAGATTTTTTTAGAATATTTTTGTGAAGCTTCTTTCCCTGGTACCTTGAATTTTGGTCTGTAATACGGTTTCACTGTGTCCCTTCCCAGAATCTCATCTTAAACTGTAATCATCCCCACATATCAAGGGCGAGACCAGGTGGAGATAATTGAATCATGGAGGCAGTTTCCCCCTTACTGTTCTTGTGATAATGAGTGAATTCTCACAAGATGTGATGGTTCTACAAGGGGGTTCCCCCTTCATTCACCTCTCATTCAGTCTCCTGCTGCGATGTGAAGGACATCTTTGCTTCCCCTTTTGCCATGATTATGTTTCCTGAGGCCTCCCTAGCCATGTGAAACTGTGAGTCAATTAAATCTCTTTCCTTTATAAATTACCCAGTCTCTGGCATGTCTTTATTAGCAGTGTGAAAACAGACTCTGGTTTGTGCTGATGAGCTTTTTTCTCAATCTGATGTTTTCTGTGTCATAAAGACCTTTCTCAATATTTCTGGCAATCATTGCTCTTTTCATAGCATTGATATATATATATATATATATTTTTTTTTTTTAGACGGAGTTTCGCTCTTGTTACCCAGGCTGGAGTGCAATGGCGTGATCTTGGCTCACCGCAACCTCTGCCTCCTGGGTTCAGGCAATTCTCCTGCCTCAGCCTCCCAAGTAGCTGGGATTACAGGCACGCGCCACCATGCCCAGCTAATTTTTTGTATTTTTAGTAGAGACGGGGTTTCACCATGTTGACCAGGATGGTCTCGATCTCTTGACCTCGTGATCCACCCATCTCGGCCTCCCAAAGCGCTGGGATTACAGGCTTGAGCCACCGCACCCGGCCAGCATTGCTATATTCTTTCTTATTTTCATATTTCTGTAGTCATTCTAGTGGGATTTTGGGAGGGCAGATACGTAAATACGTGGACTCAAATCATCATCTTTTTTTCTTAACATTTTAATGTATGTATATGCCAGCACATGTATGTAATTTTGCATAAATGAATAAAATGAGCACATAAATGCTTTTAAAATTGAAATTTAAGTAGAATATCATTAAAGTGTAACATATATACAGAAGTCACACACATCTTAAGTATCTAATTTTATTTTCAAATTGAATATAACCAGCACCTAGATCAAAAAACACATCATTATGAGCACTCTGGAAGCCCCTCTTTTTTCCTCCTCTTAGTTGCTTTTCCCTGAAAGGTAGCCAATATCCTAATGTCTAATACTATAGTTTGTTTAAAAATATTACATAAACGGAGTCATACAGTATTACTCATTGTTTGTCTCTTATTTTGTTCATTTGTTTCTGTGAAACTCACTCATGTTGCAAATAATAATAGTTGTTTCTTTCTCATTTCACTTTTAGGTAGAAACCACAAAGAAATTTGTAGCTATGACCTATATGAAAAAATGTTCAGAGAAGCACTATTTAACCCCCAACTGGAAACACTCCTAATGTGTACCCATAGTAGAAATAATAAATAAATGTTTATACATTCATACTAGGAAATTATAAACATGCTTTTTTAAAAGTATAGTTTCTTCTTTTCCATTTTTGCCTAGATCTATCCCCATCCAGCTTTCCATTTATATTCTATCCACAGCGGCTTTCACCTGCATCTAAGGCAACTCATGTTAACAACTTTGTATGCATCTTTCTGTATTTTGTATTTTCTCCTGACACTAATCATACATGCACATTCATTTACATATATATACATGTATACACACATGCCTATGGGGGAATTGTTATTGTAAAGAGTCGGATTATACTTTATACCATTTTCTACATCTCATTTTGTTAGGTCATTATATTAAAAGCAGTATTCTTATATTTTTTAGATAGTATATATCTGGAATAATATACTAAAAATATTAAAAATTATGAAAGTTGGATTAACTTTTATTGAAGCTCCTTGAGTATTAATTGGTTCATATTCTCTAGAATGAAGAAGTTGGAATTTTTTTTAAATAAACATTTATTACTATGCCAAGTGTGTTGCTAAGCCCTAATGATTCTTCTCTTTGCAGTCTAACTATACTTAGAGAAGTGTGTTCACTTTTAGACACCGTAGTAATACAAAGGACAACCAGAGCCTGTTCAAAGGAGAGAAACATGAGTATCTAGTGAGAGAACTAACAACTTGAACTAGGAATAAGGTAAGAGTGTAGGTGAGAGATGACCATTTTCTTCAAGTATTAAAGGCTTATCAAGTGGAAAAAAAGTTATACTTGTTTTAGGACCAAGGATGTATACTGAGAACAGAAGGGAAGGAATTAGGAGAGAGAGATTTGAAATCAAAATACAAAATAACCTTCTAACAGAAAACTCCCTCAAAGTTTATACAGTTACTTGGTAATGTACTATGCGAAGATTTCAAACTACAGTTAAGTGGTTCAACCTCAGTAGCTTTAAAGTCTGTTTCAACTTGGAATGACAATGACTTTAATATTTTATCATTTTTTTCATTTTCCTTAACAGTTATAATATTATTATCACTATTTTTAATGGAAGATGATTGAAAGTGAAAACCTAAACCAAGAAGAAATAATTGAAGAACTGGTGAGTCAAAGTCAAATTTCTTTTTAACAACATTTTCAATAATATATAATGGAAAGTTTTTATGTTCCTTTCTAGAACTGGCAGGGTTACTTAGTGATTTCTTCTATCCAGTGACTTTTGGAAGCAGAGAATAATCATATATGTGATATATGTGATATAACTCTTCTGAAATTACAAAAATGGCATCAGCACAATTGACAGTGTATAATTTCTAATGGTAAAAGTCATTTTAAAGTTATTTAAAATAGTTAATGACCAAATTTCTTTTTTTAAAAACAGTGTTTGTGCAATGGCTTATCTTATGAGATGGTTAGGCAAGAAGGATCAGATACATCAAAGTTGGAAATGTTTTTCTCAGGGTATCCACGTATAGTCGGATTATCATTATTTCCTAATTTAACAAGTCTTACAATTGTTGCTCAAGATATAAAAGAAATTTCTGGATTAGAGACTTGTTTACAACTTAAAGAACTTTGGATTACTGAGTGCTGCATAGAGGTAAGTGTAAACATAAAACCTTACATGGAATATTTTATTCAGAATTATTTGGCTTTAGAAAAATAATTCATTGAAATATATGCATAAGACATGGGTTAAGACAGATAAATGAGCAAAGGATAGAAATTGATTTGTACAAAGGAAAAAGTAAAAATAAAGAATTAAAACATAAACGTATTCTTCTTTTTAGTAATCAAAGCAAATCAAATCAAAACAGCATGTTACTGGTATAAAACAGACACATAGACAATGGAATAGAATAAAGAACCCAGAAATAAGGCCACATACCTACACCTATCTGATCTTCAACAAAGCTGACAAAAACAAGCAATGGTGAAAGGACCTTCTATTCAATGTGTGGTATGGGGATAACTGGATAGCCATATGCAGAAGATTGAAACTGTACCTCCTCCTTATACCATATACAAAATTAAACTCAAGATGGAGCAAGGACTTAAATGTAAAACCCAATATAAAAACCCTGGAACACGACCTAGGCAATATCATTCTGGAAATACATGCGACTAACAAACATAAGAAAAAAAGTTTAAAATGACTGATCATTAGAGAAATGCAAATCAATGAGATACCATCTCACACTAGTGAGAATGGCTATTATTAAAAAGACAAAAAAATAACAGATGCTGGCAAGATTGTGGAGAAAAAGGAATGTTTATACAGTGTTAGTAGAAATGTAAATTAGTTCAACCATTGTAGAAAACAGTGTGATGATTCCTCAAAGACCTAAAAACAGAAATACCACTCAGCCCAGCAATTCCATACTGGGTATATACCCGAAGGAATATAAATAATTCTATCATAAAGACACATGGACATGTTTGTTCATTACAGCAATGTGAACTAGCAAAAACATGGAATCAACCTAAATGCCCATCAGTGGTAGACTGGAAAAAGAAACTGTGGTACATATATACCATGGAATACTGCGTAGACATAAAAAAGAACAAGATAATGTGCTTTGCAGGAACATGGATGGAGCTGGAAGCCAGTGACCTTAGCAAACTAACACAGAAACAGAAAACCAAATACCACATGTTCTCACTTAGAAGTGGGAGCTAAATGATGAGAAAACATGAACACATAGAGGAGAACAGCAGACTATGGGAATTACCAAAAGGTGGAGGGTGGGAGAAGGATCAAGAAAAATAACTAATGGGTACTCTGCTTAATACCTGAGTGACAAAATAGTCTGTACAACAAACCCCCATGACACACGTTTACCTAAATAACAAACCTGCGCATGTACCCCTGAACTTAAAACTTCAATAAATAAATAAATTGATGTGTGCAAATGAAAAAAACAGAAATAAGGAATTAAAACATATTCTACTTTTTAGTAATCAAATCAAATCATAGCCAATATTACTTAGTAATAAAATTGGTCCACTGAGACACCACTGGTTGTGTTGAAATTATAACATCTATTTTGAAAAGAAATACTGAAAAACATAAGAGCCATCACAGAAATGTACAGTGCATAAGTTTTGACTTAGAAGGCCCTACTCCGTCTGGAGAATGCCTAGTATTCTGCCAGCTTCGGAAAGGGAGGGAAAACAAGCCTGGCAGAGGCACCCATTCCATTCCCAGCTTGCTCCGTAGCTGGCGATTGGAAGATACTCTGCAACAGTGTTCAGTCCCAGGGCGGGAAAACCTCCTTCCAGGATTCTTCTTCACCTGGGGCTGCTTCTTTCCCAAAAGGCATCATGGCCGCCCTTAGACCCCTTGTGAAACCCAAGATCGTCAAAAAGAGAACCAAGAAGTTCATCCGGCACCAGTCAGACCGATATGTCAAAATTAAGCGTAACTGGCGGAAACCCAGAGGTATTGACAATAGGGTTCGTAGAAGGTTCAAGGGCCAGATCTTAATGCCTAACATTGGTTATGGGAGCAATAAGAAGACAAAGCACATGCTGCCCAGTGGCTTCCGGAAGTTCCTGGTCCACAACGTCAAGGAGCTGGAAGTGCTGCTGATGTGCAACAAATCTTACTGTGCTGAGATCGCTCACAATGTTTCCTCCAAGAACCGCAAAGCCATCGTGGAAAGAGCTGTCCAGCTGGCCATCAGAGTCACCAACCCCAATGCCAGGCTGCGCAGTGAAGAAAATGAATAGACAGCTTATGTGCACGTTTTGTGTTTAAATAAAACTGCCATCTTCCTTAAAAAAAAAAAAAAAAAGAAGGCCCTACTCTAAGATTTTATCCTAGGAAAGTAACTCAGTAGCAGGAAACAACCATACCCATGAAACTACTTGTTGCAGCATTATTTATAACTAAAAATTTGAAACATAAATGTGCCACACATCAGGTAATTTTTTTAGAAAATTATTATAACCTTAATGAAATATTTCATAATTATTAAATATTATAATTTGAAGGATTATGAAAACATTTTAGTCATAATTTAAAGAGTCCCACAAAATTGTATGTGCATTAAGATTATAATGTGCTTACATGGTTATAATCATAGCCACATAATCATTTCTATATGGTTATGATCATAAACATATAGAAATATATGATTGTATATGTTATATACATGATTATAATCATAACTATATAGAAATAGATGAAGAGTTGATTAAAATTTAAAAGAACATGCAAAATTGAAAATAGTTGTATTTAAGTGGAAAACATGGAATATATTTTTTTCTTTTAAAACAGTTCATTTTGCTGGATATTGATTTCGCAATAAAATGTAATATTTAAAAGAAAATATACTTAGAAGTCTACTTAATTGGAAGGATTAATAACAAATCATAACCTAACACTATTCAGTCTCCTTTTCTTTTACAGAAAATTGAAGGTCTTCAAGAATGTAGAAATTTGGAGAAACTATATTTATATTTTAATAAAATTTCGAAAATAGAAAATTTAGAGAAATTAATCAAATTGAAGGTTCTTTGGCTGAACCACAATACAATTAAAAATATTGAGGTAAGATAATAATTTCAATTATCTATATGTAAAGCCAGTTACTGTTGTGGAGTTTAAACCACAATGTTCAAGATCAAATTATTGTGGTTAAAGGCCAAACTACTGATGACAAATGCAATTATTGTCAAAAAGAACTAACATGTGTATAGCATTTTATAATGTACAGAGGGCTTTGTATATATTACTTTCTTTACTCTTTACAAGCCTAAGCGGTAAGGCATTGTTATTCTTTCTTTGAAGATTTACAAGAAAGAGGTTTAGAGAAGTTGTGTAACTTACCTAAGATTATAAATATACTCTGTGTGATGTATTCTTTTTCCTCCTACTCCTGCTCTTTTCCTCTCCATTCCTCTTCCTGTTCCCTCCTCCAATAATTCTAAGTTCCAGTATAGAGAACAAAGGTGGCTTCTTGGAGGCACTCATTTCCTTCTGTGCTTGTGAAGCATAAAGTACCCTGTGCTCAGAGCACCTGAGAACTAACCAAATTAATCAGAGATGATTTGTAAATGTTAATTTTAATTATTTCTTCTAAATTGTCTAAATTTTTAGGGTTTGCAAACATTGAAGAATTTAAAAGATCTCAACCTTGCTGGAAATCTAATAAACAGCATTGGTATGTACTATTTCATTTGGAATCTGAGATAATGCTATACAAATTTTTTATCAATATAAAAAGTACATGCTTAGATTTTTTTCTTTTAGGCTTTTTTCTGTGATATATTTGCAAAGCATTTTTAAACCTGTGAAAATGTTACTCATTAATCAGTGGTTACTAATTATACAGTGGTACCACTAGTCTATTTATATGCAAGAAATAATGGCTGCATACAACTCAGAAGTATGAAAGAATATGAACAGAGGTATAATAAATAATTTTTCTCATCTTATCTTTTAAAGGTCGATGTCTTGACCCCAACGAACAACTGGAAAGATTAAACCTTTCTGGTAACCAAATATGTTGTTTCAAGGTATGTTTAAGTGGAATAATTACTTTTTATTTATCATCCTGGATGATGAACCATTGTGTTGCAGAAATTGTACTAAAACGTCCCCTGTTAAGGAATAAGTTCATTATTTGGGGCTGATACTCCAGAAAATTTGAAAGTCATGTGACTACACTGGCCTTAATGATCTGACTCTATTAAAACCAAACAAATATCTTAGGATACCATTTTCTCTTAGTTTTTTTCTAATCTTTCTCCCTATATCTCTTCAGTTACTGTTCTTTCATCCTCTTCTAGCATCTAGGATATGGTCTTCCCTTAGTCAATACTGAGATCTTTTCTCATCTCTGTCTGCATTCTCTAAATAATCTTATCATGCCTTAAGACTTTAAATGCCCTTTATCTACTGATTACTCTAAACTAGTACCTTTACCTTCCTTGACAACTCTTCAGACTGCAGACATGTCTTAACACAAACTAATTTTCCCTCTAGCAGATCTTCTCCTGCGGTCTTCCTTACCCCCGTAAATGGAGTCTCCATTCTTCCAGTAACTTAAGCCAAAATCCTTATAGTCATTTGTGCCTCTTCTTATTCCTTCATACCCTCATCCAACCCATCAGCAAATACTATTGCTTCCACCTTGAGAATATGTCCAGAGTCTGATCACTTCTTACCACCTGCATCACTACCAAGCTGATTCAAGACGCTATCATCTCTAACCTGCATTAATGAAAAAAAGGCTCCCTAACAGTTTTTCCTGTGTTTGTCCTTTCCCTACGATAAATCTGATCTCCACACAGAAGCTTGATGGAACCTTTAAAAATTTGTCGGATAAAAATCACCCTTCTGCTTAAAACCCTCCCTTGGCTTCTTACCTGTTTCAGAGTAAAAGACATTTTTATGATGGGCCATAAGACTACCCAATCTAGCCACCCCACCACCCCCTACCTGTCTCTTTGACTGCAGTTTCTACCACTCCTTTGTGCAATTTAGCCACACTGGTCTGAATATACCTAGCACACACTCATCCTAAGGCCTTTGCACTTGCTGGAATATTCTTTCCTCATATACCTCCATGGCTCATTTCCTCATTTATTTCAGGTCTTGGTCAAAATGTTATGTTCTAAGTGACACCTTTCCTTTTCAATTTAGGTGTAATAGGAAAACCCTCACAAGCCTCCCCAACCTGCAGCACTCCCTATCACACTGCTGCTGTTTTATTTTTCCTCTTGGCACGTCCCTTACTAGAATACAAGCTCTCTGAGTACAGGAACTTTGCCTGTTCTCTTCACTGCTATATCCACAATCCTTAAAACAGTGTTGGACATGTAGTAAATCTCAATAAACTGTCAAGAACATGAATGAAAGAGAAACAACCAAATAAAGGGACTTAATGTTTATCACATAAATGTTGGTTAAAACGTGACATTTATAATTTTGATAGTGTCAGATTGAAGGTTCATATTCAAACACATCCTCTAGAAAATATTGAAGAAAGATAGGTAAATTTACTATAGAAATAATTTTGAGTTCATCAGTATTAAAGTAGGCATTATTTAACTCAGGCAAAAATGTAAAAAGACCAAAAAGCTATAGAATGAGGCAGATTAAGTCCCTTAAAAAGGAATGTAAACAAAATTACATTAGTCAAATTCAAGAGGAAATATTTGATAAGAACTTTGAAGTGTCAACAGAATTTGAACAAACATTGTGGAAGGATTTTCTGGGTAGTAGGAAGTAGGCATTCTAAGAATGGGAAAACAATATGTACAAAGGCATGGAAGTAAGAAATCAAGGAGTATATTTGAATAACAGCATTGTCATTTGATTGGACTATAGAGTATATATAGCAATATTGGAAGTTAACCCTAGAAAGGTCAATTGGGTCTCAAATATGGACTGTATTTTATAGACAACAGAGAGCTGTAAAATTTTTTAGCAAGAAAGTGATATGATAAGAAATATTCTTTAGGGATAGTGATGTGGGGTTAGTGTTTATTGACTTGGAGCAGCTAGAAGAAGAAAACTCAGTCAGGAGGTTACAGGAATCATCTAAATGAGAGATTATGAGAACATGAAGCGGAGTGTTAACAGAAAAAAGAAAAGAAAGAAGAGAAGGAGGAAGAGGAGGAGGAAAGATGAGGGAGAAATAGATGTAAGAAACATTATGTTTGTTGAATTTGCAGAATTTTACAGCTACTAGAATGTGAGGAGCTAGAGAGTCCAAAATGAATCTGTGAATACAGTTCTTAGATAAAAAAATATACATATTAGAAAAAAAATGGCTATTTCGGTGTAGGTGAGGGGAAGAGAATGTATCTGGTTCTGGGTATGTTGAGTTTAGAGTAAGAGTGGAGCCTTCCAGGTAAAGAACTGCACATACAACACTGAGAAATGGGGAAAGAGTAGTCATACTTATAATCTTGGCATAACAAGCAAGAGTGTGAAGCGATGCTTAGGGCCATGGCAAATTGTCTCTACCAACATTGAGACCATCAGATAAGGGATCAGATTAAACATGTGGAAAATGGAAATAAGCCATGATAGAAACCAGAGACACTCAGAGGGTGGTAACAGTTGTGACAGGCACAGGCAGTAAGATCGATAAGATATGTGTGTGTGTGTGCGCGCGCACATGCATTAATGCACATGTACACATGTGTATCTTTCCCCTTCTAGTTCTGCTAGCTTAAGATACTACACTAAATCTTTAAATCATACTTACTATATGGAAATCCTAAATTTCAGTCTGGTAAATACATCATAAAATTAAGACAAACAAACAAAAAACCTGGAAATTACTCTTACTATTAAGAAAGCTCTTTTAAATCAATTAGAAATAAATAACCTAAGTCACCCAGTAGAAGAAAGAATAAGTGAGCAGGTAATTCATACAATTGAACTCCACATGACACAAAAGAATTTTCAATCCTACTAAGAATGAATAAAATGAAAAGTAAAACATGATATAAGGCCGGGCAGGGTGGCTCTTGCCTGTAATTCCAGTACTTTGGGAGGCTGAGGCAGGTGCATCCCTTTAGGTCAGGAGTTCAAAACCAGCCTGGCTGACATGGTGAAACCCCGTTTCTACTAAAAATCCAAAAAAATTAGCCAGGCATGGTGGCTGGCATCTGTAGTCCCAGCTACTCAGGAGGCTGAAGTAGGAGAATCACTTGAACCTGAAAGGCAGAGATTGCAGTGAGCTGGGATTGTGTAACTGCACTCCAGCCTGGGTGACAGAGCGAGACTCTGTCTCAAAATAATAATAATAATAAAAATTTTAAAATATATAATTGATAATATTTTATATAGTCAATATTTTATAAATGTGATACTCTATGCTAGAAATACTAGGATAACGTGGGCATTTATATGACATTGGTAGTCATTTAGGGGGATACAACTTTTCTGGAAAGCATTTAGATAATATGTACCAGGTCCATAAAAGGGCTTCTATTCTTTAACCTATCAATTCCCCTTCTAGGAATCTATTCCAAGAAAATAATGTGAAATGTGGACAAAGCTTTATGCTTAAAATAGGTTAAGATTGCAGAAGAGATCAGAGAGCTATGAACATTAAATTCAGAGTGCTATGGGAACATATAAAAGGGCGACCTAGCCTTTTTTGAGACATCAGGACAAGACACCCTTGAGAAGCTAGCGTTGCAGCTAATGATATTAGACGTGAGAAGGAGTTGCCCAGCCAAAGACCCTTCCAGGCAAAAGTTAGATCACATGTGAAGGCTCAAGGTGGTTGAAAGGGGTATGGCAGATTCTAGGAACTAGAAATCCTGTGTGACTGGAACAGTGTAAGGGAAGCAATTATGACATAAGGCTGAAGAAAATAAGTGCAGGATTCTGTGAAAACAAGGGATTGCCCTGCTAAAAAACCATATAGAAATTTATATTACCGTGGCCAGCCACTGTAGCCTCATGGTGGTTATAAGCCTGGCTGTGTAGGCAGAAAGATCTCTCAGGTCTAGCTCTGGCTCATACCAAAGGTAACATAATACAATGGAACATGAAGTTTAGGTGAAATAACAAAGATAACAAAGTTAAGCACCTAAATAGTGACTAGCACATTGTAAGGACTCAACACATCCATCGTTTTTATTATTTTATTATCATTATTTTAATTACATTGACCTGCTATATTTCAATATTTTCATTTAAAAAACGATGATAACAGGATTATTGTAAAAATTCATTGTGTGACATAATATTTAAAAAGGCTTTCTATGGCATTATGGCTATCATAAAAACATTGAACATGATTCACAGGAATTTTTACTATCTTCATATTAGAAATGTTTCTGAAACACTATTATCTTAGATTTTTATCTCTAACCTTTCCTCCCACCCCAAAAAGATAACTGTCCTATCCTGGTGGTGATTAAATAAATTCTGTGCCCACCTTCCAACCATACCAGGTACCAGAGCACTAATTTTCAGTGAGATTTTGTGCCTTCATGGGCTCCAGTGTCATCTGAATTTGGAATGTGGTTGGGGGATTTCTGTGGAGAACTTCAGAGTTTATACCCACCATCTACTAGCTCAGACTACTGGTCAAGTGAAACATAGCAACTCAGTAATCAAAGGCTGCCAAATGTTTTACCTTCTCTGCCCCTGCAAAATTTGACCAAATAATTCTCTGCACAGCTCTGTTCATATATCTTCCTTTTAGAGCAACTGTGCTTAGTCTTCCGCCCTGCATAGGCTCAGCCCAAGCCTCAGGTCAAACCAATGAGCCACATTCTCACTTGTCCAGAAGGAGTGAGACCCTCACCCTGTATTACTCTTGCTTCCAGCAACCTGACTTCACTATTCTCTTTTCTATTCCATTTTTACTGTAGTTTTAGAACTAGTGCTTCCTGGTTCTTCCATTAGATTTCCCTTAACTCTGATTCTGATTTTTCTAGTTAGCATTGCATCCTTTCAAGTTTGACCCCACCATAGTACCCTCCTACCTCAGGCACCATCCTAGTAATGAGGAAGGTATAAAGATATCCTCAAAGTTGGCTGAAAGTAATAATTAATTTACTTAACATATTTATTTAGTGCCTGCTGTGTTCTAAGTGCTGATTGTTAGGAATACAATGTTAACAAACTATGTTCTCTACAAGTTTATCTCAAAGTTGGCAAATGTTTTCTGTAATAACAGCCAAATAGAAAATATTTCACGCTTTGTGGGCCACATGTGACCTCCACTGCATATTCTTCTTTTTTGCAATACTTAAAAAATGTAAATAACATTGTTTGTAGATTGAGGGCTAAAGCCCATATAGATCCTTGGCTTATAGATACAAACAATAGGGTATCTTGTATAGATACAAGATACAAGCAATAGGGTATGGCAATAGGGTATGATAAAGTCCATACCAAAACTCAGCTCAGTGGCTAAAAGAGCTCATAGGAGGATTATCTGTCCCAACATTGGGGGATGAAACAAGGTTCCCAGGGAATATGACACTTACATTGGGCCCTGACAGATTAAAGGGTGAATTGAGGTAAAGTTCAGACCACTCAAAAGGAGCAGAATGAGTAAAGGTCTAAGGGCAACATAGGGCTTGGCATATTCCAAAACTTCAATTGGTTTAGTATGGCTAAATCATAAAATATTAGGGTTTAAACAGGAAAAGACAAGACCAAACAGTTAATCAAGAGCCAGATGACAAACAAAGGAAAGTATAAATAATGACTTAAACATCAAGAAAAAATATGTTAAGGAGAAACATTGGTCTGAGAGTGAATAGCAATCCCTCCTCATTGATAGGTTGTGAGAAAACTGACTCTCAAGTGAAAGTTAGGCTTTAGTTGACCATGATAGATAAAACAGGAATTTATAGAAAAAAAATCAACAAAAAAAACCCAAATCAGGAATTCCATGGTGATTGTTTGTAATGAACAGGGGTAGGGGTCCCATAGCCTTTGATGAGTAGAGCAGATCTGGAGGCAGGGAGGATGAAGAGCAGTGTTTCTAGGTGATAAGTACAGGAAATAGGGGTGAAGAAAGCAGGTATCCTGTGGGTGACTAGCAAGAGGGGCTGTGTAGGGGAAGCAACATATTAATGAATAAATGTGCTCATGTCACTGGCTTCAAGATTCCAGCTGATATACATGATTTAGTAAATAGTTAAAAGGCATAGTGGTATAGCATGCTGTTTAATTATTTGATCTTTTCTTCAGGAATTTACCTTGTTTTTCACTAGTGAGAAACATTTTAGGCATCTAAATCACTTTATTTAAGCACATAATTAGAATGCATTAGACTATGGCTGATCTTAGTTGTTCAAATACTGCATTTAGAAATGACAGTCACAATTAATTGAACATTATCTTTGCTGGTGTTTTAGGAGCTCACGAACTTAACCAGGCTACCTTGCTTAAAGGATTTATGTCTGAATGACCCTCAATATAAAACCAATCCAGTTTGTCTGCTGTGTAATTATTCCATACATATATTATATCATTTGCCTTGCCTTCAAAGATTTGACACATTGGATGTGTCAGCAAAGCAAATCAAGGAACTGGCAGATGTAAGTACATCCCCAATCAAGTATCTGTGATTTCAGTTTTATTAATTAATGGCTTCTTTCTGGCTGTGTCCACATATGGTAGGTAGGATTATCAGATCAGTTCTTGTTGCCAATTCTACTTTTGCTCTAGTGAACTGGATATTACACATAAAAGTATATAAATAATAATATAAATACTAGAATTTTAATTTTGATGACAGTACTGGAAGGTGAAATAATAGAATATTGTTTCTCATTTATACAAAACAAGAAGGAAATTGAAAAAAATCAGTGTTAATAATTAGACTAGTGCTATATATATATATATATATAAGCTTAAATAACAGAAATGTAACAACCACTTCTCCTTTGGAATATCACATATCAAAATTAGAAAATATCTATGGATTAGGTAAATTTTAATCTAATTAAACATAGTTTGTGATTCTCTGAAAGGTTAAGTAGCTGAGGATATCAGGGGATGAGAAGTAACAGATGACAGGAGTGGTGGAGGCCAGATTATGTGAGACTGTAGACTGTTGTAAGGACTTTGGCCTTTACTTTGAGTGAGATGGGGTCCACTGGAAAATTCTGAGCAGAGGAGCGACTAAGATGACTTATGTTTCAAAGGGATCCTTTTGAATAATGGATTAGAATGGAGAGTTAGAGGGACAAAGGTGAAAGCAGAGAGACCAGTTAGGAGATTATTCCAGTTACTTAGATGAGCGATGTGGATGGTTCAGTTCATGGTGTTCACAAAAAATGTGGTAGGAAGTCAGATTCTAGTAGCAGTTGAAAGATGGAGACTATCTGGGTTTACTGGTGGGTTGGATATTAAGTACAGAGGAAAGAAGTAGAGAATAATTCCAAGATATTAGTTGGAGCAATTCAAAGGGAAAGTTGATATTTGGCGACATTAGGAAGAGTATGGGAGGAATAGGTTTAGGAGGAAGAATCATGATTTAATTTTAGGCATTTAATGTTTGAACAATTTCTTGAATATCCAAGAGGACATATTCAATAAGTAGTTGGATGTATGAGTCTACTGTGTAGGAGAATTTCCCAGAAAATTAAAATATGAAAACAGAAAGCAAAAAGTTGGTACTTACAGCTGTGGACTGGATGAGTCAACAAGGAATGTGTGGAAGAGAAAGTGTGCCACTTAAGTGTTAAATGTTGGGTAGATGAAAAGGAACGTGCAGAGAGACTGAAAAGGAGAACTAAGAGAGGCAAGTTCTTCTAACATTTTGACTGAGATTCTCAAACATTTGGTTCAGTCTTATAAATGTCAGGCGTAGCATAAGAAACAAAATAAGAAATTGTTAGAAATTGTGCCTAACATCTTAAATTAAGTAATTATTTTCATTTTCTTATTGTAAAATATTTATCTTTCCTTTATCTTTTAAGGCACAAATAGGATCTATACTATAGTTCAACTTCTGATTCAGACCAAAATGATTTTCAGATTCAAAGTATTTTTAATTTATGGATTGATATAGATTTCTAAAATGCTTCCTTCCTTACTATGCATAAGAAGATAAGTTGTGGCAGTTCTTTGTGATGAACTCTTGAACAGAGTATTATTGATTCTTCAGATTTTTACCTATGACTGTGAACTAGTTTGTATAAACTACAAGTGGCAGATAAAGTCAGAACTTACCAGGAGGACCACCAAAGAGTTACTGTGAGCAAGAGGGAAAAACATATGGGTTTAAACCAGAAGACTTGGATTCAATCCCCCAACTGCATGTGCTACTCCTGAAGCTCAGTTTTCTGAACTGAAACAAAGATGATGAAAATAGTATCTGCCTTTCAGCACAGAGTTGTTTTGGGGGAACCAATGAGTTAGTGTACATAAAAGCCCATTTTAATTTTTAAGTAGTATAAAAATAAGTGCTATGAAACTATAATTGAATATATTTCTGTTTATGACTTTGAATTCTTTTTTGGCCACCTAAGATGCAAAGGGATCAAATTTTGTCTTAGTACAAACATGCAACTGAATTTAGCATTATAATTAGTCTAACTTCTTTCCTTAAAAAGTTTGTTTTAACAGCTGGGCAATTTTAACAAAGTCCTTGAAAGTGACTTTGACATTAATTTTTTAAAGTCCAAATTCAAAAAGTAAGTTGCATGTGGTCAGCCTACAAAGTTGATTTGCTATATAGTTACAGTTTATAAAATAGTGTTCCCTCCTTCCCCAAAATCTTACTATATACTCTCAAATAAGGACAAAAAAAAACCCTTATTGATAACACTTGTTTATTGTTATGACATACTAAGTGATTTTGAAAAAGTTTAGAAATAGTAAAAATCACAATTTGTGTTTCTATATGAAGATAGAAGTACATTCTTAATAAATTGGAAAAAGTTGAAACTATGGTAAGATATACTACACACAAATCTGGTTTGATGGAAAACATAAGTAGGAAGTACACTTTTCATTGTATAAATCAAATTTTTTGGTTTTTGAAATATGAATATATTGCTTATTCAAAAAAATTAAAATAAGACTAGTATGTTTTAATCTTTGCTTTGTCCCCACCTAGGGGGACTCGAAGTTAAATTTAAATTTTAGATCAACAACAAAGAATGTTTTGGTATAATTAAATAAGTATAAGTAACTTTACTAAGTATTATACATATTAAAATATTATCCATTGCTTATCTGAAATTCAAATTTAATTTGGCATCCTATATTTTATCTGACAAAATTAACTCCATCCTATGTTCTCTTGTGTTATTTTTTTCCCTTTTATTTACAATTGATGCATAATAATTCTATGTATTCTATAGGATACACTGGTATTCTGATACACATTTACAATGTATAATGATAGAATAAGGGTAATTAGCATATTCATCTCCTCAAACATTTATTTTTTCTGTTGTGAACATTCAAAATCCTGTCTTTCCGATTTTTGAAAATATACACATTATAGTTAACCATATTCACCCTGCAGTGCTACAGAACACCAGAACTTATCTTCCTATCTAGCTTTAATTTTGTGCCCTTAACCAACCTTTCCTCCCCACTACCTTTCCTACAGCCTCCAATATCTGCAATTCTACTCTCTACTTCCATGACCTCAAAATTTTTTTTAGTTTTCACACAAGTGATAACATGCAATCTTTATTTTTCTGTGCCTGCCTTATTTCGCTTAACATAATGTCCTCCAGGCTCAACCATGTTGCCACAAATGACAGGATTTCATTCTTTTTTACGGTTAAATAGTATTCCATCATATGTGTGTGTGTGTGTGTGTAAATGTATGTAATGTGATATATGTAATGTATGTGATGTGGGGAGGTGTATGTAATGTGCGTGTGGGGGGGGGCAGGTGTATATAATGTGAATGGATTTCTTTATCCATTTACCTATCGATGGCACTTAGGTTAATTCTAAATCTTAGCTATTGTGAGTAGTAAACATGGGGGTGCAGGTATCCCTTTGATACACTGATTTCCTTTGTTTTAGATAAATACCCGGTAGTGAGATTGTTGAATCCTATGGAAGTTCTATTTTTAGTTTTTTGAGAAAACTCCATCCTGTTTTTCAAAATGGCAGCATATGAGAATTCCTTTTTCTGGGCCCAGGAGGGTGGATCACTTGAGGTCAGCAGTTTGAGACTAGCCTGGCCAACATGGTGAAACCCCGTCTCTACTAAAAATACAATAAAAATTAGTCTGTGTGGTTGCAGGTGCCTGTAATCATAACTACTTGGGGGGCTGAGACAGGAAAACTGCTTGAACCCAGGAGGTGGAGGTTGCAGTGAGCCAATATCGTGCCACTGCGTTGCAGCCTGGATGACAGACTTGTCTCAAAAAAAAAAAAAAGTTCCATTTGCTCTGCAATCTCACCAGCATCTTTCTCTGTTTCGTTTTGTTTTGTTTTCTGTCTTTTTGATAATAGCCATTCTAACTGGGTGAGATTATATTGTGATTTTTATTTGCATTTCCATGATGGTTATTTAGTGATGTTGAGTATGTTTTCATATACCTATTGGCTATTTGTATGTTATCTTTTGAGAAATGTCTGTGCAGTTCCTTTGCCCACTTTTTGGTTGGATTATTTGTGTGTCTGTGTGTGTGTTTTGTTTTTTTTTTGTTTTGTTTTGTTTTTGTTTTTCTCTGTTGAGTTGTTTGAGTTCCTTGTTATTCTGGATATGAGACCCTTATTGGATGAATCATTTGCAAATATTTTCTCCCTTCCATAGGTTGTCTCTTCACTCTGTTGATTGTTTCCTTTGGCTGTGCGGAAGCTTTTCAGTTTAATATAGTCCCATTTGTCTATTTTTGTTTTCATTGCTCATGCTTTGGAAGTATTAGCCATAAAATCTTTGCTTAGATCAATGTCCTAAAGCATTTTCTCTCTTTCCTTCTAGTAGTTCCATGGTTTCAAGTTTTACATTTAAGTCCATCTTTTGAGTTAATTTTTGTATATGTTGAGAGAAGGGGTCTAATTCCATTCTTCGCTATCAGAATATCCTATTGTTTTAGATTTAAGAATTATTAGAATTTTTTTTCAGCTGTCACTAACCCACAGAATTTCGTATAGGATTTTCTATTGTCTCCAAATACTAAAAAAAAAAAATAAAAAAAATCAAGAAACACCATTTCCCATTTCTTAAGTTAACAGTTGTCCTTTAACTCAGTTGCACCTTAGAAATTAAGCTCTTCTTTATCAGAGATATTTAATCAGTTTATCATGATCTTAAAATAAATATTTTCTTAACTGTTCTTTGTTATGATTGTCTTATTTTTAGCAGAGAATTTAGTGATTTCAGTTGCTGTACTTCATAATATGCATGAGGAAAGAGAATTCTTTTGGCCTTTCATCATACTATGTATTTGTTTCTATTCTGTCTTTTATGCCAGATAATTATATTAGGATATTGATTATCCACTCTGTACTAAGTAAATTTCATAAGAAAAGACTGCAGCTGTAGAAAATATATGTCTAAAACTATAAAAGCCTTCCAATTTATTTGCTTTCACTATTTCAGGTAAACAATTAAAATCATGTCGCATTTTTTATAATGCCTCTAATTTGCTTATAGTCTCCTAAGGTAGTCCTTTTTAAGTAATATAACTCTCAAGCTCCATTTAGCTGGTGCGTTTCTTAACTATGTATTTAATCAATTTATCATGATAAATTTATTAATAACTGGATGACCCATTGTTATTAAGGAACTCAAGCTAAACGGATTTGGTAGACATTTAGTAATTTGCTTAACCTAATGAACATTCTTTTATAAATTTGAAAAAAAATAAATTCTGTTCCTTAGCCATGCTTTTAAAAAATGAATTGAGTAATGTTACATTTGCTTTTAATTCTTATTAATTTATTTTTTCCCTGAGTCAATCAATGGGAATAATGAGTTATATGTTTGCTCTAATTATACTACCTCATTACCTATATTATTTTATACATTAAATTTTATCTGTAGTCTCTTTATGTAGTTATCCTGGAAATAAATGTGAATATGCCTCAAACTTTATGCCCCACAAAGACAATTTTTGGAATTTTTAATTTTTTAAAATTACATTTAAATATAGAGTTCTGTGTAGCCATTGTCACTCCACTGTCATCATTATTAGTAACTGAGCATGCAAATTATCTAATTGTTATATAGAACATGCTGTACTTATATAATGCCACTAATAATTGCCTATAATTTGTTTTAGCTAATTTTTTGCTGTTTTCTTTCTTACTTTTAGACCACAGCAATGAAAAAAATAATGTATTACAATATGCGTATAAAAACTGTTCAGAGGCATCTTAGTGAAGACCTTGAAAAACTGAATGATCAAAAATGCAAATTACAAAAGTTGCCAGAAGAACGAATAAAATTATTCAGCTTTGTGAAAAAAACCGTAAGATTTAATAATGTAAAATTCCAGTGGCCATACCTTAAGAAAACTGCCAGATGAGATAGCAAGCAATATATATCGTTTATATTTTATATGTATATATAAACATATATAATACACACACACACACACACACACACACACACACACGCCCATAATTACTACTGAGTATCAAGTTAAGTTTGCCCCCAAAAAGTTTTGATTCCATGTACTTAACTAAGCTGCATTCTGTGCTTAGATATCTGCAATTCAAAAGAGGTATAGGCTTATTAAATTATGAATCTCTTAAAAACAATCTATGTATTTCAATATGATTTAGAGTGTTTCAAAAATTGTTAGACTTATTTCAGCTGCATTTTTATTAAATACCAGCAGGCTGTGCTCAAAATTCATTTTCTTGTTTAAAGTGCTAAAAAAAGAAAAAACCCTTTACTAATAATATTAGGTTATAAAATGAAGCGGGAACTTTAAATTAAGCAATATTTTAGTAGTATGTATGCATTTTTATTTAGAATAAATTGAATTTCCTTGACCAAAAGTAGACCCTGAGAAATTAAGCATTATTTAACTCAAAACAGAATCGTGTATATATAATTATTCCTGTATTTTTTTCAGTATGAGGAAATAATCTAATTCCTGTATTTTTTTCAGTATGAGGAAATACATTATTTCCTCATATATATATAATATATATATTTTATATAAATTAATATACAATTAATATAATATATATTTTTAAATTTATATAAAAATACAGGAATAATTATATATATGTTGAAATGGATTATTCAACAAATGGTGATAGAAAAATAGTCAAACTATCTGGGAGTTGGAGACTTGGATCCTTCATTTGTACTTTACCAAATGTAAATACCAGTAGGAAAAAAAAGAATTAAATGTAAAAATGAAAACATGAAAAATTGAAGAATAAATGTATAGATTGATATATTTATCTGATCTCAGCCTGCCAAATTAAAGAAATACTAGAAATCACAAAGGAATAAAATGTAGATTTGAGTTTTAAAAAACCAGTAGAATAGTTTTATATTTAAAATCATAATTAATACACATAAATAACAAATGAATATCTGAAAAAATGTCTTCAACAAACATGATGGACTAAGGGTCAATATCCCTAGTATAAAAAAGTACTCACATGTAAAACAAAATAAAAGGTAAATGTCTAAATAGACAAGTTGAGCAAAGTACATAAACTAGAATTTTACAAAAGTAGAATTAAAAATGACTAATAAGCATTTGAAAGAACTCAATTTGATGATTAATTTCCAAATGTCAATTAAGATAACAAGAAACTGTTTCACCTATAAACCGTCAAAGTATGACACATGACAGTACTCAGGCTGGTGAAGACGGATGTGACACACTAGATATGACTTACTGGAGTGTAACTTTGGTCATACATATAACAGCGCCAAAATGTTGAGTTTTTGACACAGTAAATCTAATTCTAGCACTCTGTTGTAAATATATATGTATAAGGACATATATAAAAATGTTTAAATATGTATCACTGCACTATTAATAAAAACATTGGAAACTAAACAATAGGAGAAGAATTATACACTCAAGATAGAACAATGTGTAGCTATTAATATTAAAAACTAAGGTTTTGAAATATATTTAATGCTTTTTAAAAATGAACAGGTCTTATAATTAGAAAAGTATTCTTAAAACATTAATAAAATTTAAAATTCATAATTAAAAATAGATTATTTGAATAAAAATCACAGTAGATCAGTATATGAATAACATATCTGCTATTTTCACGAGTAATTGCATGTATTAAGTAAATGAGAAAAATAATGGCTATCGGTATATACAACTAGAGACATTTTAATAAATATGCTTAATCTAACAGCTGGCTAGGTCTATTATAGAAGAGTACACATAACTAGTATCCACTTATATACACTTTTCTTTGTACAGTGCAATTAATCTTTATTGTTATCATTGTTGTTTTTATTTTAAGTTCTGGGATCATGTGCAGAACGAGCAGTTTTGTTGCATAGGTATGCATGTGCTGTGATGGTTTGCTGCACCTATCAACCCGTCAGCTAGGTTTTAAGCCCTGCATACATTAGGTATTTGTCCTAATGCTCTCCCTCCACTTGCCCCCCAACCCCCTGACAGGCCCCAGTATGTGATGCTCCCCTTCCTGTGTCCATGTGTTCTCATTATTCAACTCCCACTTGTGAGTGAGAACATGTGGTGTTTGGTTTTCTGTTCCTGTGTTAGTTTTTTGAGAATGATGACTTCCAGCTTCATTGATGTCCCTGCAAAGGACATGATCTCATTCTTTTTTATGCCTGTATAGTATTCCATGGTGTATATGTGCCACATATTCTTTATCCAGTCTGTCATTGTTGGGCATTTGGGTTGGTTCCAAGTCTTTGCTATTGTAAACAGTGCTGCAATAAACATATGTGTGCATATGTCTTTATCAGTAGAATGGTTATAATCCTTTAGGTATATGCCCAGTAATGGGATTGCTGGGTCAAATGGTATTTCTGGTTCTAAATCCTTGAGAAATCACCACACTGTCTTCCACAGTGGTTAAACTAATTTACACTCCCACCAACAGTATAAAAGCGTTCCTGTTTCTCCACATCCCTGCCAGCATCTGTTTCCTGACTTTTTAATAATCACCATTGTAGCTGGCATGAGATGGTATCTCATCGTGGTTTTGATTTGCATTTCTGTAATGACCAGTGATGATGAGCATTTTTTGTATATGTTTGTTGGCTACATAAATGTCTTCTTTTGAGAAGTATATATCCTTTGCCCACTTTTTGATAGGGTTGTTTTTTTCTTATAATTTTGTTTAAGTTCTTTATAGATTCTGGATGTTAGACCTTTGTCAGATAGATAGCTTGCAAAATGTTTCTCCCATTCTCTAGATGGCCTGTTCACTCTGATTATAGTTTCTTTTGCTGTGCAGAAGCTCTTTAGTCTGATTAGATCCTATTTGTCAATTTTGGCTTTTGTTGCAATTGCTTTTGGTGTTTTATTCATGAAGCCTTTGCCCATGCCTGTTTCCTGAATGATAGTGCCTAGGTTTTCTTCTAGGATATTTTATGGTTTTGGGGTTTACATTTAAGTCTTTAATCCATCTCGAGTTAAGTTTTGTATAAGATGTTGGGAAGGGGTCCAGTTTCTGTTTTCTGCATATGGCAAGCGAGTTTTCCTAGCACCATTTATCAAATAAGGAATCCTTTCCCCATTGCTTGTTTTTGTCAGCTTTATCAAAGATCATATTGTTGTAAATATGTGGTGTTATTTCTGAGGTCTCTATTTGGTTCCATTGGTCTATATATCTGTTTGGTACCAGTATCATGCTGTTTTGATTACTGTAGGCTTGTAGTATTAAGTCAGGTAGAGTGAAAGCTTTGTTCTTCTTTCTTAGGATTGTCTTGGCTGTTTTTTCATTCCATATGAAATTTAAATTAGCTTTTTCTAATTCTGTGAAGAAAGTCACTGATAGCATGAATAACATTGAATCTATAAATTACTCTGGGGAGTATGACCATTTTCAGGATATAGATTCTTCCTACCCATGAGCATGGAATGTTTTTCCATTTGTTTGTGTCTTCTCTTATTTTCTTGAGCAGTAGTTCTCTTTGAAGAGGTCATTCATCTCCCTTATAAGTTGTATTTTTTAGGTATTTTATTCTCTTTGTAGCAATTGTGAATTTGAGTTCACTCATGATTTGGCTTTCTGCTGATTTGGTGTATAGAAATGCTTGTGATTTTTGCACATTGATTTTGTATCCTGAGACTGCTGAAGTTGCTTAAGGAGTTTTTGGCTGAGATGATGAGATTTTCTAAATATACAATCATGTTGTCTACAAACAGAGACAATTTGACCTCCTCGCTTCCTATTTGAATACTTTTATTTTTTTTCTCTTGCCCGATTGCCCTGGACAGAACTTCCAATACTATGTTGAATAGAAGTGGTGAGAGAGGGCATCCTTGTCTCATACCATTTTCAAAGACAATGCTTCCAGCTTTTGCCCATTCAGTATGATATTGACTATGAGTTTGTCATAAACAGCTCTTATTATTTTGAGATATGTTTCAGCAATACCTAGTTTATTGAGAGTTTTTAACATGAATGGGTGTTGAATTTTATTGAAGGCCTTCATCTATTGAGATAATCATGGTTTTGGTCAGTGGTTCTGTTTATGTGCTGGATTATGTTTATTGACTTTTGTATGTTGAATCAGCCTTGCATCCAGGGATGAAGCTGACTTGATCATGGTAGATAAGATTTGTGATGTGCTGCTGGATTCAGCTTGCCAGTATTTTATTAAGGATTTTGACATCAATGTTCATTAGTGATGTTGGCCTGAAGTTTTCTTTTTTTGTTTCGTCTGTGCCAGGGTTTGGTATCAGAATGATGCTGTCCTCATAAAATGAGTTAGGGAACAGTCCCTCTTTTTCCATTGTTTGGAATAGTTTCACATGGAATGGTACTAGCTCATCTTTGTACCTCTGATAGAATTCGGCTATCAGCCCGTCTGGCCCTGGGCTTTTTTTTTGGTTGGTAGGCTGTTAATTACTACCTAAATGTCAGAACTTGTTATTGGTCTATTCAGGGATTCAACTTCTTCCTGGTTTAGGTTTGGGAGGGTGTATGTGTCCAGGAATTTATACATTTCTTCTAGATTTTCTAGTTTCTTTGTGTAAAGGTGTTTCTAGTAATCTCTGATGGTAGTTTGTATTTCTTTGGGTCAGTGGTGATATCCTCTATCATTTTTATTGTGTCTATTTGATTCTTTTCTCTTTTCTTCTTTATTAGTCTAGCTAGTGGTTTACCTATTTTGTTAATCTTTTCAAAAAACAGCTCTTGGATTTATTGATTCTTTGAAGGGTTTTTCATGTCTCTGTCTCCTTCAGTTCTGCTCTGATGTTAGTTATTTCCTGTCTTTTGCTTGCTTTTGAATTTGTTCCTTCTTGCTTCTCTAGTTCTGTTAACTGTGATGTTAGGGTGTCGATTTCAGATCTTTCCAGGTTTCTGTTGTGGGCATTTCGTGCTATAAATTTCCCTCTTAACACTGCTGTAGCTGTGTCCCAGAGATTCTGGTATGTTGTCTCTTTGTTCTCATTGGTTTCAAAGAACTTCCTTATTTCTGTCTTAATTTTGTTATTTACTCAGTAGTCATTCAGCAGCAAGTTGTTCAATTTCCATGTAGTTGTGCAATTTAAGTGAGTTACTTAATCCTGAGTTCTAACTTGATTGCACTGTGGTCTGATCCTGAGAGACTGTCTGTTATGATTTCCGTTCATTTGCAATTTGCTGAGGAGTGTTTTACTTATAATTATGTGGTTGATTTTAGAATACTTGCAGTGTGGTTCTGAGAAGACCAATGAAAAATGAAAAGTAGGTGTGTTAAAAATTACAACATTATTTGAATTTTAAATAATTATACTAAAGCCAGCATTTATTTTAATTTTACTTTGGCTTTAATAGAAGCAAACTCATTAAAAATATTTGAAAAACTGTTGCTTTGCTTATTTTCAATTGAGAGACTACTATGTTTGAAGTGGTTAAGATCAGCACTTGGTTAAGAGAAACTGGCTGACTGAATTTGCACCTAAGTTGAAATCACATGTTTGGCATGGTTTTATGAAATTTGGCCTATTTATTACCTAGATTTCTACTTTGTTCATTTAAATTAGACACTTGTTTAATAGATCCCATTAAAAGTTAATATCTGAATTTCAACTTTGCCTCGACCATGTTTAATTTTTATTTTGCTCTCTGGCATATTGTTTTCCACAGTTGGAACGAGAACTAGCTGAACTCAAGTGCTTGGGCAAAGGGCACAGTGATGGATCCAATAACAGTAAAGTAACTGATCCTGAAACATCTAAGAGTAGTGAAACTGTCACTGGAGAACCAAGTCTTCAGCAGAAGATATTGACCAAACTAAATGCCTTGAATGAAAGGGTAACATTCTGGAACAAAAAACTAGATGAGTATGTTTAACGAATTGTCTAGCTGTTCAGATTTGAAACTGAGAAAATCAAAATGTTTTGGGCCATCGGTTGACACTAGTTCCCTTCTTCATGAGTGTAAAGAATTATAGTATGAAGTAAAGCATGAAATATGTTCTTAGTACTAGTTCCTAGTACATATAAGAAGTACAGCTTAAAATCTGGCATACAGTTTTTTTCCAGAGGCAGTTCTTAATTAGGAACAGTAGCTACCTCCCAGGGGCTTCCTGTCATATCACTGCTCTAGTGTCTGCAAACTAAAAACAATAGAGTTGATGCTGGTGCATAAACTCACCGAATAGATGAGACCTGGAAAAGCCCATACACAGTAGAAGCAAGTTCAGTCTCAGTTTTCAATTAGAAATGTAAAGCAATGAGGCTTAGCAAGGACTGTGAATTTTTTAATTTACTAAGGCACTAAGTGGATAAGTTAGTGGGCCCTGTGGTAATGCTAACAGTAATCGTAGTAACATTTATTGGGTTTTTACTTTGTGTCACACTCTTTGCTAAAATCTTTACATATAATTTGCATATAACTCTCAAAGCAACCATTTTAGAAGTAAGGACTATGAATATTGCTATTTTACTGAGAAAACTGAGGCATAAAAAGGCCAAGTGATATATGTCTGAGATCTGAAAGCCGTAAGTGGTAAAGCAAGGTTAGTATTCTAGTCTTCACATATTTTGAGAGTAGCAAAATTAAAAGTTATTTTAATTGCCAAAAACAGAATGTCTTTTACAAGGTTTAACTGTTAACACCAAGCTTTCTTTATCTATTGAAAGGAAGCCTTGTGTTTTAACATCAATTTTAAAAAATCTATCATAAGTTTTAATGTTGTCATCTGTAGCTCATTCTAATAACTGTATGTATTTTTCTCTTCAACAGAATTGAAGCAATTTATCATACTGAAGTAAAACAAAAGAAGAAAAGTCATGGCTTATTGATCCCACTTTTGTTAACTGAGTTAGAGACTGTGGGAAATTTCCATTTTGAAGAAGGCACTCAATCTGATGACTGGTAAATCCATTAGAAATTTAGTATAGCGTTAAAAATAATTTAAGTACTTCGGATCATCAACCAGAATATAAACTTATAAAATCTTAAAATGTCCCATTTTGAAACATTTCTCATGCAAAATATTCATCTATTAAAAATTGGCAGGCATCTATTGAAAATTTAAAATTACCTACTTTCTACCTACACATTTATTTATGCCATTGCCATGAGCCAACCTTGAAGACATCCTAATGGTTACTCACTGCTTTTTACCCAATTTTTCTTAGCCCAAGAGCAGAATATAATTTAGAAAAAAATAGTTTATAAGCAAGTATTAATTTCCTTTCTGGACTGGATACAGTGCACGATTCTGAATATTAGTTGAGAAAATTGAACAGAGCAGGAGTGCCAAAGCAGGATTGGTGACAGCAGGTTGCCAACATGGGAGGAGACTGTCTAGCAAACCTTCTGTAGGTCAGAACAGAACAGTGGTCAGAGTGGAACCCACTGTTTAGAGATAGCCACCGTCAAGGTGCATATGAACACTACATGTTAAAATAGGGTATATGATTAAACCAGGAATTCATGTCAAAAGCCTGTATCAACAAAAATGGAGAGACTCCAGGATCAATCAGAAAGCAGACAGCCAGGCTTTAGAACCAAGGCCTACTAGTAGAAACTAGGAAGTGGTTGTGTTGCTTCAATTAGAGGGGCACAGTTAAAAATTACCCTTAAAAAAAAAAGAAAGCCTTGAAGAAAAATAGTGTTAATTATGACTTTCACATTTCTAAATCATTTTTTCAAAATTGAAGAGCCTGTGAAACAGACAAAAATTGCTCTAAAGCCATAGTAGGAACTGGGTAGTTGGAAATACACCCAGACATGTCAAACTATAGAATGGACTTGGCACATAACCCTGGAGCATGGTTTTACCTGAAGTCAATGTCAACATAAACACTAATTTTATAGAGTAGAATGTAAAATTTACACTAACTTTTTAGGAAAAAAACTTGTTATTGTTATGGGTTACTTTAAACCAAGGCCCCTGATTTCTATTAGACATGGCTTTTTTCTCACCTCTGTAAGGAAAAGCTTCTCAAGGGTCTTGGGAAAACTCTGATGGAAAGTGTAAGAAGCTCTTTGCTAGGGAAAAAAAGCCCTTTTAAAATACTTTCCTTTGTATTAGTACATCCATTTTCACAGCAGTTACTACTGTTTGCTTAACCACATTGTTTGATTTTTATGTACAAAGATATAAAAGGTGTTCATCCCAGCTCCCATGTGAACAAATAAAGGCCTTGATTTTTCAAGTGCAAAAACTCAATGGTGTCTCTCTACAGGGTGCACATTTATATTCACTCAAACTAAACAGGATTTTTTTTTTTTTGAGATGGAGTCTCGCTCTGTTGCCCAGACTGGGATGCAGTGGCACAATCTAGGCTCACTGCAACCTCTGCCTCCCAGGTTCAAGCAATTCTCCTGCCTCAGACTCCCAAGTAGCTGAGATTACAGGTGCATGCCTCCACACCCGGATAATTTTTGTATTTTTAGTGGAGATGGGGTTTTGCCATGTTGGCCAGACTGGTATCAAATTCCTGGCCTCAAGTGATCTGCCCGCCTCAGCCTCTCAAAGTGTTGGGATTACAGGAATGAGCCACTGTGCCCAGCCCTAAACAGGATTTTAAAAAATTATTTCTGTTTCTTTTTACTTATTGTAAAGGAAGCTCTTTGTAACAAGTAGATTAGTGAAAAAAAGTAAAATCAAAGTGACTAAAAGCCATTTAGATAACTATGTCAGCCTGATAGTAAATTAGGTAGGTTTGATGGATTTTGATTAGGATTAACCTATTTACTTGGTTTTAAGAAGAGCAAACTTAATTTAAGGAATAAATCAAATAAATGTTAGCAGAATTTAAAGTACTGTTTTTTTACTTTTAGCATACTACAAGTTTCGTTACTTTTCCTCTGATCTTTTATGTATGTTAAGAAATAACTAAGTGCATTAAATTGCTATGGACATTTCTAGTTGTTTATTTAAGCATTGACTTCTCTTTAATTAATACTTTTAAGGCTAAGGATTCAGTAGTTGAATAAAAAGTGTTTGAGTAGAACTAGGACTGAAAGATTTTCTGTTAAAATTACCTTTATGTCTTTAACAACGACAAAACACTGCATGTTTCTAAATGTATATCATTATTTCTTAGCTTTATTTCTTTTATGAAATATAATTATTTCTAGTTTTAAAAAGTCTTATTTTATAGAGACTTGCTAGTAGTGGATTGTTGCTACTATACCTTTGTTATTATAGAATCATATTATTTACTGATGTGTTGCCAATTAAGTTACCCATTGACATCAGAAAACATTTATCAATAGGGACTCCAAAGCATAAACGATGCTGTTCTTGTGCCTGAGAAGCTGTCATCCTGGTTATAGATACAGTATATTTACAACTAAAAACAAAATTTTAAAACACCAGAAAACAATATATAAGTGACTCTGTATGTTCCTTTGGGGCAGATATGATGTTTTGTGTGTCTTTTAAGTTGTAACATCTAGCATGAGGCTAGATTAATAGCCAAGTATATATTCACTAATTGAAGCTTCCATATCACTTTATAGATATTCAACAGCTTTACTTTGGTATATATAATGACTTTCAGTTATTAATCTGACTCTTTATAAAGATTTCATGCTGTACTATCTCAAGGAGCAGAAACTTTTTGTTTTATAGGGTTTTGAAGCTATTATGATGTTGATTTAAGTTGGTAAGCCTGTGAAGTATTTATTAAACCTTTGTCTAAGATTATAAAGCCTGTTTCAATAGATTATATTAAGCTTCAGTCATTGAAAAACTGTGTACTCTACATTTGCTAAATGAGACCATTTATTGTATATTAACAAAATGTGTAGGCATCTTTCTGTGTAACTGAATATATTAGTCATTGATATCTATCATTGTGCATGTTTATACATTCAAGTCCCACTGAATGAATCAAGATAAGGTACACAGTTCAGCTGACTCTAAAGGATTTGAACAGGAGTTTTGATTAGTTTAAGAGACCATACAGTGGAGAACATTAAATCCTCTACTGTAGGTGAAGAGTCTGAATATAATTTGGAAGGTAACAAATAGCTGCAAAGGCTTTTGTTTTGTTTTATTGGCTGACTCTTCACCTATAGAGAGGATCAGTGATCTCCACTGTATGGTTTTAGACCATCATAACTTTTGTTCAAATGTTTTAAAGTCAGCTGAACTGTGTACCTCACTGCTCCTGAAGCAAACCCAACACTCCACCACATGAGTGGTTTTGTTTGTTCTCCTTCCTTCACCCAGAATGCTTTCACATACCTCGCCCTTACTTCATCATTGCTCAGCTGCTGAATTCCTGGGCAAAATAAAAGCACCATGAAAAAAATCACACTTCATAGCTCCTGCATTCCTGAGGGACCAGCCTAGTAACTAGGTATTGTCTGTTCATTCCTTGCACGCATTCTTGAGAAACCTCAAGCCCAATAACCACTATATAGGAAAATCTTTATCTAAAATATGTCTATAGCCCTAGTTTCTATAGGAGTGCAGAAAGTTTCCAGGACATGTTATTTAGAGGAAACTTGACAGATTTAGGCTCAGCAAATGATCCCTCTAGAGGTGGGGCAGTGGCTTGCCCACCTCAGATTATATTGTGACTGTTTTGTAGGTCCTCTGAACTGGTTAGCAGGCATCACGATTGACTGCAACACTATTCATATCTGTCTCCTCTACCAGACTGTGAGCTCCTCTGGGATTAGTTTGGTTTAGGCAGCCCTCTTTCCAACTCTAAGGGAGAGATAATTTATAAGATCCTGGCTGCATAGATTAAGTATTTGCTTGTGAGAAATACAGATGCCCTAAGTTAGGAGCTCAGCCGTTAGGCTCAAGGAGAGACTAACTATCAGGAAGCTCACCTCTATGATCGTAGCTCACACCCATTTCAGATCCTGGTTGATTTTGTAGGTAAGGATCTAGATCTGTCATTAAAAGCAAATGTATTCCTTATAGGATCATTTACTTCCTTCTCAAAATGATCCATTTTTCAATCTCATCTTAATCTAGGTTCTGTGCTAGACAGGACCGGAATTTTATGAGTATGGCCAGGTGAGGGCAGCAGAGAGCAAACAAGCACTTCAGCGTTCTTACCTTCACACAACTGGCCCCTGGTCCTCTTCCTCCAGTTTTCAGATCAAATATCTTAACGTCTCTGAAAGGCCTTCCCCAAGACCCTATCTTAAGTAGGTCCGCTTTGCATTCCTTACCCCGTTTCTCTTTAAAGCTCTTATCAGTTTAGAAATTTTATTTCTGCCTTTACTTGTTTAGGCTTCATTAGAGCAGACATTGCCTCTTTCACATCAGTATTCCTAGTCAGGAAGTTATTTCAGTAGTCCAATAAGAGATCATGGTGATTTGGATTAGGATGGTAACAGCGGTGATGATGAAACATGATCGTATTCAGGACACATTTTAGATGTAGAGCCAGACGGACTTGCTAAAGAATTAGATACTGGTAAGGAAGAGAGGAGAGGATTGATTATTCCTATGGTTTTGACAAGCTACCAGTTAAATGGTGGTGCCATATACTGAGATGGAAAATACTCAGAGGAGCAGGTTTGGGATGAAGTGTTAGTTATGTTAGGTTGGATTCACCTATTTAATATGCAGATGGACATACCAAGTAGGTAGTTGGATATTGAAGTCTGAGTATAACCAGCTAAGTTGGGTAGAGATCAAGACTAGAAACAAAATGATATAACTTATCATATATATAAAGCCAAGGAACCAGATGAAATTATCTAGGGAGAGTGTTCATGGACATAAGGGGATGGCCAAAGGCTGATCCCTGGGCAGCTCAACATCTAAGTTTGTCTGAGAAGACCCAGCAAAGAAAACTATGAAAGAGCAGCCAAAAAGAGGAAGACATCTGTAGTTTCCCTGAAGCTAAGAAAGAAAGTGTTTCAGAATGTGAGGACTGCTCAACCAACATGTCTTTCAGGGCAAACAAATATGCAATAAACAGAGGCACACATATGATTACTGCATCATTAGCAAAAAACACAAAATGAGCTGTAACTTTTGTCACATGTAATTTTGTGTTCTTAAACATTTTAAGGAAAATCTGTTGTTTTCTTTATGTATATTCTGTATGTATTCCCACATAGGTTTAATTTCTGCTATGAATTAATTCTGTCACGTTTTTGTGCCTGGGACTTCAGAATCTATGGTATTACAGGAGTAAAAGTAAAACGTGTCATTAAAGTTAACAACCGCATTCTGAGACTAAAATTTGAAGAGAAATTTCAAAAGTTTTTGGAGAATGAAGATATGCATGATTCAGAGTAAGAAGTTGAATTCTTTTTTTCCCCTGCCTTTCACACATCTCTGTGCGATCTTTAATCCATATATATATATATATACTTTAAGTTCTGGGGTACATGTGCAGAATGTGCAGGTTTGTTGCATAGGTATACACGTGCCGTGGCTTGCTGCATCCACCTACCTGTTATCTACATTAGGTATCTCTCCTAATATTATCTCTCCCCAATCCCCCCACCTCCCCTGCGATACCTCCCCTAGTCCCCCAATACCCCGACAGGCCCGGGTGTGTGATGTTCCCCTCCCTGTGTCCATGTGTTTTCCTTGTTCACACCCACTTATGAGTAAGAACATGTGGTGTTTGGTTTTCTGTTCTTGTGTCAGTTTGCTGAGAATGATGGTTTCCAGATTCATCCATGTCCCTGCAAAGGATGTGAACTCATCTTTTTTATGGCTGCATAGTATTCCATGGTGTATATGTGCCACATTTTCCTTGTCCAGCCTATCATCGATGGGCATTTGGGTTGGTTCCAAGTCTTTGCTATTGTAAACAATGCTACAATAAACATATGTGTGCATGTTTCTTTATAATTGAATGTTTTATAATCCTTTGGGTATATACCCAGTAATGGAATTGCCGGATCAAAAGGAATTTCTATTTCTAGATTCTTGAGGAATCACTACGCTGTCTTCCACAATGGCTGAACTAATTTACACTCCCACCAACAGTGTAAAAGCATTGCTATTTCTCCACATCCTCTCCAGCATCTGTTGTGTCCTAATTTTTAAATGATTACCATTCTAACTGGTGTGAGATGGTATCTCAATGTGGTTTTGATTTGCATTTCTCTAATGACCAGTGATCATGAGCTTTTTTTCATATGCTTGTTAAGGAACAACTTTACAAAAGTTTGACTTTCTTTGTACAATTTCTATTTTAAAAGTTTACATGATTAAAAATATACATATATCGTGTTAGTAAATGTTTCCTTTTTATGCATCACCCATGGCTAGGATGACCTCATAATTTATCCACATTGAACTTGTTTTTGTGGTTGAAGGCAGGGGAGCTATTAATAATGATATTAGAACATGCCTGTAAATGAGAAATATCCCTGATGGGACATATGGTTATCTTATCTATAGCTACGCTTTTGTGAAATCAATCCTCAAACTTTTTCTATTTCAATTATTCTCAAGGAGCCACCGAAGAATGCTGGAATGCCTTTTTTATGTTTTTGATCCTGAAGTTACAGTGAAGAAAGAGCATCTGCTACAAATACTTGAAAAAGGATTCAAAGAAAGTGAAACCAGCAAGGTAGCATAAAATGTTATTTAGAATAATGTTTTCTTCCTAATAAGTGGAGCTCTGCCACTGGTTAAGCATGATTCCCAATCCTTTTATCCATATTTACAGTAAACTTCTGCTGTTTCACAAAAAGCTTAGTGTTATCATGGAAAGTACAGCATCTTTCCTCTTTGGATTATACCAGAGTAAGTCCATTAATTACTACTGCCTCACCCTATTTAATCCTTCTAGCATCTTATTTTTATGTTGTGAGCCTTTTGTTGATGGTTTTGAAATCTGCTTTTTAAATCGGCTATAAATCTTTAATCTGCTCTAAATTCTCTGGAGTCTTCTCTATCTTGAAACAATTCAATCCCTTAACTCCACTGTACTTTCTAGCTATTGTCCTGTTTTCACTTTCCTTTTACTGCTACCATTTCTTTATTCTCTACTTCACTATCCCCATCTTGCTGCTGATCTTGCTTTATCACTGGTCACTTCTGATGCCCCAAATATCCACTCCATCTTTCTCAGTTAAAGATTCTTGCAAAATAATTCAAACATAAGACTCCTTCTAGTTTTCTGATTCTCTCCTGCCACCCCAAACTTTTGCATTTGCCTTGTCTACACATGCCTTGCCAAAAGTTTTTAATAATTATCTTATATTGAATTTTACTCAATTTTCCAAAATTATTCAAAGAAACAACTCCTATTTTATCACTTTAATATGTGTAATTTCATAACAACTACAACTGGCATAAACAAGTTTGGGAACAAAATTAACTCACTCCTGGTAAGCATTCAACACAACTGGATACAACAGAAGTACATCTGTGTTTTTAAAAGTTCCATTTTCTCCCTGAACTGCCACCATACTTTGGGTTATATAGGCAACAGAAAATACTGGTTAATCCTGCAAATTGGTTAAGTGTTAGTTAAGTGGTGATAAACTGAGAATTTTTGTTATAACACATTTATTTTATTGAAATGTAGTCATTTATGTGCATTTTTCTACTAGTTCTTGAGAGCAGGATATGTGTTTATAGAGTAGATTCTTAGTAGAAATACAGTGAAGGAATAGATGTTAGATGGATGGATAGCAGTCACACCTATTTGTATACCTCCACATGTTTTCCTCCTCTTAAAATATAACTTCCTTTTAAATTTTGATTATTTGAATTATGTACAATCTTTAAAGCCTACTCATGATTTCATTACCTCTATAAACTCCTTCCTAATCTCTTCAGTTAAAAAGTATATCCTATTAGATGCACCTTGTAATACCTTGTATTTTTTGAATTATTACGCATAGTTTCTACTGTGCCTTTATTAATTGAGGACCAACACTAGACTGTAGCCTTACAATGCCATGCACATGGGTTATAGCAAATGTATATTTAGTTGTGTTCATTGAAAATCTGAGAAGGTTACTTACTGGGATGTGGAATTTGTGGTCAGATAAGCTCTATTGCAGTATAGTCATCCATCACTATCGGTGGGGGATTGTTCCAGGACTCATGAATATACCAAAATCTGTGAATACACAACTCCATTATAGAAAATGGTGCAGTATTTGCATATAACCTACACATATCCTCCTGTGTACTCTAAAACTCCTCTGAACTACTTATAATGCAATGTAAATACTATTTAAATAGTTGTTATACTGTATATACTATTTGTATTATTTTGTATTGTACTTTTTTCCTGAATATTTTCAACCCATGGTTGGTTGAATCCTCAGATGTGGGAACTGTGGACATGGAGGGCTGACTCTATTTATTTTTTTTGCAATTTCTTTGGATTGCAGATTTCAATAAGAAAAAATATATGTAAGTAATTTGGCATTCCCAGACAAGACATAATTCTAAATAATTTGGCTATTAATGTTAAACTAATAGTAATTTCAAACCTTTGAGACTGTGACAAGGACAAATGGACCTGAATTCAAATCTAATTTTGCCAATTACTAGTTCTGTTCTTGGACAGATTGTATAATCTCTTTTAGCTCTAGTTTTCTTACCACTAACATCTAAAAATAGAGATTTTTGTTTTTTAGAGCTACTTTCACAGCAAGCAGGTAATGTGAACATTACTGATAATACTTTTCAAGGAATAAAGTTAGGTACTATACAAACTAGGATTTCCATGGGTTAGCACAATAAAAAGTGTTTTGTTTCTGGAAAAAAATGTAGATCATGAGACCAAAAAGTTATAGTAGAAACAAGAATTTCACTGATATAATACCTCATTCCATTAGATTTTCTTTTTGCAGTTAGCAAGATTACTAGTGGAGCACTCATTGAAAGCTATTGCTCCTGCTCCACATAGTATTGTCAGTCTTGACTGTGGCTGCTTTTCCAGGAACAAATTTTGGTCTGCATCACTTTTTATTAACCTAATTGTATATGAATTTAAGATATATAAATGGCTTTGCCAAATGCAGTTGCTCCTGAAGGTTATCTTCTTTTCAGTGAGTCCAGCCTGCAGATTTCTTTGCCCAGACACATTAACATAAAATAATAAACTCTCTATATTGAAGTATTGTCAATTTTATAAAAATACTCAGATTTTGTTTTTCCTTTGCAGCTGCCTCTCAAAAAAGAAGCTGTCATTCTTTGTAACAGTCTAAGTATAAGTGAGTGTCCCAGAATTGAATTTTTACAGCAAAAGCACAAAGACGAGAAGAAACACTCTCTTAAGCGTGAGCTCTTCAGGCATGGTAAATACAAATATGCCATGTTTCTGAACTTTTAAATTCTAAGTCTTCAAATTCATTAAGTATTGTGATATCATTTCTGATACTTGGTTTTATCAACCCAGGAGATGTTCTTCAAACTACCTTATTTTGTATTTACCAATGTAGTAATACATGACTTTCTCATGATTAATTTAGCGACACTGTAATGGATATTTACTGAGTGATTACCATGTCAGCATTAACAGGAACATTTGTTACTCAGATATTTAATCCAACTTTTCAAGGGCACTTTTCACAGTCTGCCTTTGTTCGTTATGTTGTGTCACAAAAATTCAGTATATATATATATATGTTACACACACACACCAAATTCACAGGAAAGAGAAAAGAATTTGGCCCATATATGTGATAATTATATAAAGTATGCTGGAAGGTAGGCCTTATTTGTCCTGAATCATCATAATGTAAGATGATAAGAAAACCTAGGTTTTAGTTAAAATTACCTAAAGACAAATTGGAAATTGTATGGCTTGCCTTGTAACTTGTCTTATGAAAGATAAACTTTTGATATTTTAATTCATTCATAGTTACCAGTCCTTCATTTGCAGCTTGAATATGTAGAAATACAAGTACCCAAATCAATTTATGGTACACTTCTGGGAGAGATTCCCTGGTACCCACAGATTAGGGAAAAAGAGTAGCTCATCATGTCCTTCTTACCTCATCCTCTTCCACTTTATGTTCTTTAGTTCCACAAGTATTTATTGAATGCTTATTGTGTGTTAGGCTCTGGAAGGCTCTGGAAGGGATATAGTCTATACAAACTAGACGGTTTCATCTTTATGATGCTTATAAATATTAATAATCACATAAATATAAAATCATAATTATCATATAAGAGCTATAAACATGAAGTATTAATGCATAGTACCAAACAATGTATAATATGGAGAATAGATAGGTCAGGGAGTTAGGAACACCTATTCTTTAGTCTCAACCATCCAAGCTACTAAAGCAGGAGTCTCCAACCTATGGCCACAGACTGGTTACAGTCTGTGGCATGTTAGAAACCTGGCCACACGGCAGGAGGTGAGCAGTGGGTAAGTGAGCAAAGCTTCATCTGTATTTACAGCCACTCCCATCATTCATATCACTGCCTGAGCTCCACCTCCTGTCACATCAGTGGCAGCATTAGATTCTTATAGGGGTGTGAACCGTATTGTGAACTGCACATGCAAGAGATCTGGGTTGTATGCTACTTATGAGAACCTAATACCTGATGATATGTCACTGTTTCCCATCATCCCCGGATGGGACCGTCTAGATGCAGAATAACAAGCTCAGGGCTCCCACTGATTCTATATTATGGTGAGTTGTATAATTATTTCATTATATATTTCAATGTAATAATAATAGAAATAATGTGCACCATAAATATCATATACTTGAATCATCCCAAAACCATTCTCCCATCCCCAGTCTGTGGGAAAATTGTCTTCCGTGAAACCAGTCCCTAGTGCCAAAAAGGTTGGGGACCACTGTACTAAAGATTTGGTAGTCAGAAATTGGGTTAATTTAATTCTATAAGAACAACATTCTAGGTTCCTGACTATAGCTCAGCTAAGATGATTCATTCTGAACTAAACTATGTGTGTTTTGCAGTTTTTTAGTTAGTTAATAATAATTTTTAAATTAGGCCAGTTATTGAGTCTAAAAAGAACTCCATAACTCCTTATTTGAAAACACCTTTTCTTCTTTATCATTCTCCATTTTCATATTAAGAAATACCTCATGATGTTCTCTGCTAGATCCTTCTGGAATTTCTAAAACATTTAGGTTTCCTAGTTTACATTTTATATTTTGTATATAGTAAAAGCAAACAAATAAAATTCAATTGAATGTTGTATGTATTGTGATTAGAAATTATGTTTTTAGATTCTTGGCTTTAGGATTTACTGAATCCCAAGGATCTTTAAGAATCTAAAGGGAAATTATTACTAGAATAATTGCTAGAAGAATTTAAAGGGAAAAATTACTTAATTATTTATTACGTAGACATATACTGAGTACATCTCACTATCTAAGCTATGTGCTAGGTGCTACTGAACTTTTACCCAGTTAACCCAACAATGAACATTTATTTTTAACTACTGGGAAAACTTTGCTATATTATTGTGTTCTTTCTTTCTCCCTCTTCTGTAAAGCTTTGCTTGATATAATCACACAACTCTTCTTTTATAATCATTTCATTTATTCAACAATATTTGTTGAGCATCTATTTTGTATTAAACAATGTGCTATGTGCTATACAGTAGCAAACAAGAGAGCCAGTATTTCTGCCTTTACAGAAAATACAGTTCAGTCTCAGGCCAATAAAAAAGGTTATGTTGGAAAATTATTAAAGTGAATTATTCTTAAGAATTACTTGTGGTTTTTTTATTTTTATTTTTAGGCATCCTCCTCATTACAAAAGTTTTCCTTGGCCAGAGTGTTCAAGCCCATGAAAAAGAATCCGTCAGTCAATCCAACTATCCATTGGTTGATTCAGTATTCATTCCTCAAAAATATTTACTAAGTATGTCTGTCATAAAGATTAATGTGGTTTCCTGTCCCTGAATGAAAAATGTGTTTAATACAGATACTCACAGTTTTATTTCTACTTAACAAAGTTTGTAGAACTTTCTACAAAAATCTGTTACTATCCACTAATAATTTTTATATTCCATACCTCAAAGATATTTATATATAGGTGTGGGTAGATAGTTAATAGGGCAAATTTTAATTTAATTATGTATTTGTGTGTGTGTGTGTGTATATATGTGTGTTCATTTTCAAAGAATTAAAAAACCATTCAACTTTTAACAAGAGTTTTAGAGAAATACATTTGTCAAAATTACCTGGCCACAAATTGAATAGAAAAGTGAAAAAGTATGAAAGGAAAAGGATTTGAATATAATTAAGCACGACTAGTGTATGTAGTGAAAAGATGACTAGTAAGTATTTATGTAATTAAAAGGACTACAGTGGCTCATGCTTGTAGTCCCAACACTTTGGGAGGCCAAGGCAGGTGGAGCACGAGGTCAGGAGATCAAGACCATCCTGGCCAACATGGTGAAACCCTGTCTCTACTAAAAATACAAAAATTAGCAGGTGGCAAGTACCTGTAATCCCAGCAACTCGGGTGGCTGAGATAGGAGAGTTGCTTGAACCAGCAAGCTGGAGAGCCTGGGCTACAGAGACTCCGTCTCAAAAAAAAAAAGCCTAGAGCAGAAAGGATGAAAGAAAAAAATCCTCAATAATATAACTGTTGCAATTAATTGAGTTTATTATCTGTTAAATTAAGAATGAAAACGTATGTTTCCATTTGAGGAAATGTGTTTGATTTGCTTGTTTTTGTTTTTACTCTAGATTCTGTCATGGAACAAAGAAACTGTGATTGCAGTGCTCGGCAGTACAAGTGGTTTGTCTTTGATCATGACCTTGTTTTGCCAGAATACGTTGTTGAATTTGAGTATATGACAATGGTATGAATTGTTACATATTATTAAAGACTGGAATTCCTTAAATGGGAACAGAATAGTAATTTGAAGTCTAATAATGCTATGTCAAGAAAATACAGTTTAGTCTCAGGCCATTATGTGCATGTGTGTATATTTGTTATTTTGTGAAGATCAACTTTCAAAACAAGTCATTATGACACCTAAATATTTTTAATGCAAATATATCATATGATTAATATATGGCTGTACTCTCACTGGAAAAGATTCAGTCTACTTTGAAGATTCAAACTACATTGAAACTACATTGAAGACTAAACATGATAATTTGTCTTTACTTTAACTTCACTGCCATTCCCTTTCACCAGGGAATCCACAGTTAACAGTTTTATGGGTTTGCTTTCAATCCTTTTTCTGTGCACTTCATAGCTATTAACAGATACCATTTGAAATAGTAGAAACAAGGTCTAAGTATTCTGTGATTTTTTTTGCCTTTCAAAAGACAATATCTTTTGAACATATTTCCACTGTAGTACATATAGAGGGATATTTCATTATTTGGTGGCTGCATATTATAGAATCTGTCTATATGAATCTATTCTGTTTCACTGAACTCTTTCATCTTATTTTGGATCACTATCACATTTGTTTTGCTTATTACAAACTTCATGTCTTGACATGTGATAGGGCAAATCCCCTTCCTCTGTCACCACTTATCTTTTTAAGCTTTTTTCACTATTCTTAAACATTATCTTTTTTCTATAAACAATTTCTATAAAATAATTTCTAGATGGATTAAAAAGGCTAAAGGTTTTAAAACAAGTCACATAAATATTGTAAGAAAATGAGTAATATTTATTACAGGATATTTGAAATAAGACATAAAATTCAGAATCCATACAGGAGATTGAGAGAGCTGACCTCTTAATAATTAACTTGTGAATTACAAATTAAAATGACAAGCAAGTTTTGTTACAATTAAATTAAAAGGCAAGTGACAGAAAATATTTGCAACATATATAAGATACATGATTTTTAACTTTTTTAATTTTTAAAATTTTTTGTAGAGACTAGATCTCACTATGTTGCCCAGGCTGGTCTCAAACTTCTGGACTCAAGCAATCCTCTCACCTTGAACTCTCAAAGTGCTGGGATTATAGGTGTGAGCCACCATGTCTGGCCTAAGATAAAATACTAATATCCAGAATGTATGTAAGAATTTTTCTAATACCGAAAAGACAGAGTCTAATAGAAAATGGTCAAAAGATATATAATAGGTGATTCATAAAACTATAAATAATTTTAAACATATGAAAGACTAAAATATCTTCTTTTTTGCCCATCATAGCGGCCAAAAAAGAGATTGATAATATCTCATGTTGGAAAATGTAACAAGACACGCACTGTCATACACACTTAGAAATTCTTTTATAGAAATTGTTTACAGAAATTGTGAGGTAGAAGGGTAGTGAAACAATTTTTTAAATGAATAAATACTTATTTAGGCATTATCTTTTCTACTCTATTTTGAAATACAATCCTTATTGTTAGAATTATTTGCATAAATAAGGAATCTGTCTATATGAATCTATTCTGTTCCACTGGACCCTTTCATCTAATTTTGGATCACTATCATGTTTGTTTTGGTTATTACAAACTTCATATGTCTTGATATGTGATAGGGCAAATCCCCTTCCTCTGTCACCACTCACCTTTAAAAATTTTTTTTACTATTCTTAAACATTTTCTTTTTCCAAATAAAATTTAGAATAGCTTGTCAAGTTCTATTTTAAAATCCTATTAAAATGTGACTGAAATTATATTGAATTTAAAATTTGATTTGGTGTGAACTGACTACTCTATAGTATTGGACTTCTTGTTCTAGGAACATGATAAGCTACTCCATTTACTCAGGTCCTCTCTTACAGTTTTCTTTGTAGAGGTCTCCAACATTTCTTATTAAGTTTAGTTCTGGGAATTTATATTTTATATTGCTATAATGAGTAGGATTATATTAGTCAAGTATGCCTTTAGCAAAAGATACAGAAACCCAGACAAACAGTAAACAGAAGTTTATTTAACTCACATAACAAAAAGTCAAGAGGTGGGCAGTACCTGGCAGTTGTAACCGTTCAATGATGTCAGAAAAGACCTTAGTTCCATCATCATCCTGCTTGCCACTTTATGAGCTCTTTCAATGTTATGATTCAATTCTTTCTTCTCTTCTGGGAAGTTTGCTTCTCTTAGTTCATTGGTTATTTCTTCTCTTCCATTTTCTGTTAAGCCCTCTGGATCCCCTCATTAGTTAAATATTAGACATTCCAAATTGATCCTCTGTATCTTTTCATTTTTCCTCTTCTAGTTTACACTCTATTTTAAAATTATTGTTTTGAAATGCTTTCTCAATCTTAGCTTCCACATTGCTAATTTGATCTGCTACCATATCTACTTGGTTCTCAGAGTATGTACTAAATTTTTTATTTTAATTGTTTTCATTTTAGCTTTGAAATGTATGTCCTTTTCTTTTCCATAGCAGCTTATTTTATTATAGATACTTTGTTTTCCTAGATTTTAAAAATTCTCAATGAAATACTTTGATTTCTTCTAGAACAAGTTCTGTTTGTTCATGTGGCTCTTGCTTAATTCCTTCACAGTTATTACCATAATTACTTAATTACCTGACAATCAAGATAACTAATTGCTCTTTATTCACTCTAATCATCAAGTTTCTCTGGACATGATTTTAAAAGTATTTGTCTCCTGCATATTTTTTAGCCATAGGTTACATTTCTGCTCCTATTTACCTGCCAATTCAGTCCTTTCTGATTTGTGTGTCACAATTTCTAGGCCTTTGTAGGTACCCTCTTCACTGTTACAAAATATTTTTAAATTACCTTTTACCAGTTTTTAAGAATTTTCAGTGGGTGGGAATAGATATATCATGCATAGCCTAAAATTTTAATCTGCTTTGTAGATGTCCTAATGTGATTCTGATTATCACAGATAGGACTGTATAACTGAAAATGTCAACTCATCTTTTCTACATAGCCTGGTTTTCCAAATGATAAATACAGCTGCTGATTTTGCAATATTTTAAATTCATATTTTAGGTCAAGGTGGACTCTTTATTTTCTGTGTTTAACAATGTTATTCTACAGGAAAGCAAAAAAAAATCAGAAGGATCAGTATTTTCCAAGGATTTGAAATTTGATGATGAAGTAATAAAAATGGAGCCCAGGATCAAGGCCCAACCAAAACTGATTAGTTTAGATGAGAAAACAATACTTTCCCTTGCAAAGACTAGCGTTTACAGTCATATTGTGGTAAGTATTGTGAGGAATAAAGCTTTGAGACAGGAATCTTGAATTTGGAGTCAAAATATAACATACGAAGTCAAAAGATACTAAACTGCCTATCTGATGATGCCAGGTACTATGCTACCTGAAGTGCCCATTCCTCTTTTTCGACATGGATTAGATCAGTGCTCTCTAGTAGTAATATAATGTGAATTACGTAAGTAATTTTTAGTTTTCTGGTGGTTATGTTTTTAAAAGTTTTTTTTAAAAAGTAAAATTAGTTTTAATAATACATTTTATTTAACTGAAATATCTTAGTTTGTTTTCTATTTCTATAACAAAATACTACCAACTGGGCAATTTGTAAAGAAAATATGTTTATTTAGTTCATGGTTCTGGAGGCTGGGACATCCAAGAGCTTGGTACCAGCATCTGATAAGGGCTTCTTGCAGTGTCATAAAATGGCAGTGGGCATTACATGGCAAGAAGGCAAGAGCAAGAGAGCCACAGAGAGCTGATTTTATAACAAATTTACTCCCAAGATAATAGACTCACTCCTCTGAAAGTGACATTAATCTATTAATGAAGGCAGAGGGATTGAGTTTCCAACACATGACGCATTTGGGGGACACATTCAAACTATAGTTCCTGCAAATTTAAAATATTATCTTGTTAACATAGAACTAGTATGAATATCCATTGGTGAGGTAATTTCACCCCAACTCTTAATTCTGAAGTATATTTTACACTCTGAGCACATTCAGACTTGCCACATTTCAAGTACTGAAACAGCCATATGAGGTGGCCTTCCAATTAGCAAGGGATTTTATTCCTGAATAACCAATAAGCTCTCTTTAAATGATTAAGAAAAAGGCAGGTAAGTTTTAAATCAGTTTCTAGAATTAACATAGAATATGGGATCTTTATCTTTACAAAATTAATCAATAGAAATCAGGTTACTTACTAAAGTGACTTACTTTATGCTGAGACAATTCTATTGAGATACTAGGCCTACTTCCATATCTGACTTTTAGATGTGTTCATTTCAGATCTGCTGCTACCACTCTATCCAAACCACTACAATTTCTGACCTAGACTGTTATCCCAGTCTTCTAACCAGGCTTTCTGTACTCTACATTGCAATATTGCACAATTCAAGAAAGTAGAATTCACATTGTATTCTGTTTAATGTGCACTTTGGGTGCCATTCATCATATAACTGAATAGAACTCAACACAAGATGGAGGGAGTAGGATGCCTCTAGAGCTACGCAACAGAGGCCCTGTCCTATGTCCATAAACATGCATTATAATAGCAATCTTCTGGCTGACAGTACTGATAAATTATTTCTGCACTATAATATCAAGATTTACTATTTTAGTAAGAAATTGGTTTACCTGCCTCAAAGACATCAGTTTAGTGGAGGAAATAGATATGTGAATGCATGTAGGAAGCTCAGTTACTGGGAGAGATTTACAGAAAGAGGTGAGGTTTGAGTGGATTTTTGAAGGATATGAGAAATTTAGTTGTTTACATATGCCAGACAGAAAAATATTCTTATCTGTAGGAACATGGTTTTGAAAGATCCGGATGTTTTCAGGGAACACTGAAAAATTGAGTATGCCTAGAATATAATGTTACAATGGTGGAGAGTAAAGATGTAGGTTGGAATTCAAGAAAGACGTGTGAAGCCCAGGCTGGAAGAGTATGAGGTTGTAGCTAAACTAGGATGGATTTTGGAAGCCAAATTTAGAAGTTTAGATTCTCCTGTTTAAGGAACAAACTTTCTTTAGATACCTTAACTTGGACAGCTTATGAATGGAAGTAACTGAAGTCAGACTGATGGTATGGAAATTCCATAGAAGACCATTGCAGTGTCCAAAGGAAAAATCATTCATTTCTTTTTGGATAACCAGAAAACCAGCAGCACCATCATATCACCACTATCAGTGCCTTAGCAGACTAAGGCACTGGTAGTGGTGATATGATGATATGGCCAGTTTGAGAAACAATCCTGCAATCAAATGTATAAAAAGAAGGAAAGGGAGTGATCAACAGTATGTTAGATAGTGAAGCTCTTTATCAGACACATAGGGAAGATGAATTCAGTTGTGGACATGTTAAGTGTAAGGTTTCTGTAGAATATATCATGGATGATAACCATATGTGACTTGTAAAATAGCTAGTCTGCTATTACCAATTTTAGCTAATTTTGACAGCTATTAGAAATTTAATTGTTTCTTCTTTTTTAATTTGTTACATCTGTGATATAAGGCGTAAGACGGTGGTGGTGAATGAAGGTAGCTGGGAGATAAATCATTTTATCATGATAATTAATACCCATTTGTTGTGAATACTATGTCAGTTACATTAATATATTTTCTTGTGCCCTTGTTTATTTTACAAGCTATACGTAAATATAGTCTTCACTTGATACCAATCACAATGGCATAAAGACAAAAAAAAACAAGCATCAGAATCTCTCCTTAAGCATAAATGTTTAATAATGTTTGTTTTTATAAGGAAATGGACAAGAAAAGTCTGGGCCAAATTCTGATATAGGTGTTGCCTTAAGCAATCTCCCACCTCCTCCTTTGACCTTCTGTCCTCCTACTTCAGCACCCTCAGCCTTTCTTTTTCAGTTTGGTACCCTCATAGATTTTCCTGCAGTCACAGTGCCATCATGCATTTTCCGGTCATCTCTCTCCCATGAGGTATCCTATCTGATACCTCATGGTATCCAAATCTTTAAGGTCTACATTGTTCACTGGTTAGCCTGAGAAATAGATCTACCCTAATAAATACCCTAACCACATACATTTATTTTATTGAAAGAATTTCATGCCAATTGCTGATAAACTTAGACCAAGTGAGAAATCATATTAATGAAGAACCAAAGTCTAGTGATACTATTGCAAACTATCTTTTAACATCATAGATTAGATTTTTTTCTTATTGGCAGTTTGTTAATGTTATTTAAAATAACTGCTTTCTTATTTTGTATACTGGGTCAAGTAATTGTTCTAAACATTTTAGATATCCATACTTCGGTATGATGTAGAATGTAATCTGTCTTATTTTGTACTTTATATTTTATTTTACTTCAGAGTCTGAATCTGCATGGAAACAGCTTGAGTAAATTGAGAGATCTTTCCAAGTTAACAGGACTTCGAAAACTAAACATTAGCTTTAATGAATTTACCTGTTTAGATGATGTATACCACTTGGTAAGAACTGTTCCTTTGAATCTAAAAAAGTCAAACTCACAGAAGCAGAAGGTAGAATGGTGGTTATCAGGGCTTAAGGTCTAGGGGAAATGAGAAGATATTGGTCAAAGGGTATAAACTTTCAGTTATAAAATAGACAAGTTCTAGGTATCTAATGCACAGCAAGGGTGGTGATAGATGTATTAATTTGATTGTGGTAATCATTACACAGTTATATCAAATCATAGCATTGTACACCTTGAACATATTCAAATTTAATTTGCCAATTTAATATTTTTGAAAAACTATGCTGACTCTGGGCACACTGCCCAGGAGTTAGGCCCACTCCTAAAGGAGAGCTATAAAATAAAAAGAAAAGGCCGGACGTGGTGGCTCATGCCTGTAATCCCAGCACTTTGGGAGGCCGAGGTGGGTGGCTCACGAGGTCAAGAGATCGAGACCATCCTGGTCAACATGGTGAAACCCGTCTCTACTAAAAATACAAAAAATTAGCTGGGCATGGTGGTGCATGCCTGTAATCCCAGCTACTCAGGAGGCTGAGGCAGAAGAATTGCCTGAACCTAGGAGGCAGAGATTGCCGTGAGCCGAGATCGCGCCATTGCACTCCAGCCTGGGTAACAAGAGCGAAACTCCATCTCAAAAAATAAATAAATAAATAAATAAATAAATAAATAAATAAGAAAAGAAAAAGAAAAAACTTTGGTGCAGCAAAAAAATCATGAGATCAGAGGACATATGATAAATTGGAATAAGTATTTAAAAAAAGAACTGTCCTTTTGAAAATGTTTATGTAAAATAAAATAATTAATGGATAAATTATTTTTGGCTTCATATTCTACCATTTAGAATATTATACAGCCTGAATCAGCCTAAATACATATACTGTATTATGTTACTTTCTCTGAAACATGTCTTAGGTTGAACTTCTGTTTGCAGACCAAATCTGTACCAATGGTCATATCTCATTTCTAGCTACTTTAAGTAAATATGTTAAAATAATTTCTCATGTTTGTGTTTAAAATGTCCTCTGGTGTAAATTTCATTTTTTTCTACTCCTTTTTTCCCACTCTTCTCTCTTTCTTTCTTTTTTTTTTTTTATTACATTTTAGGTTTTGGGGTACATGTGCAGAGCATGCAATACAGTTGCATAGGTACACACAGGGCAGTGTGTTTTGTTTGCTTTCTCCCCTTCATCCACATTTGGTATTTCTCCCCTGGCAATCCCTCCCCACCTCCCCCTCCCACTACCCTCCCCTTTTCCCCCTATAGACCCCAGTGTTTAGTACTCCCCTCTCTGTGTCCATGTGTTCTCATTTTTCATCACCCGCCTATGAGTGAGAATATGCGGTGTTTCATTTTCTGTTCTTGTGTCAGTTTGCTGAGAATGATGTTCTCCAGATTCATCCATGTCCCTATAAACGACACGAACTCATCATTTCTGATTGCTGCATAATATTCCATGGCGTATATGTGCCACATTTTCCCAATCCAGTCTATCATCGATGGGCATTTGGGTTGATTCCAGGTCTTTGCTATTGTAAACAGTGCTGCAATGAACATTCGTGTGCATGTGTCCTTGTAGTAGAACGATTTATAGTCCTTTGGATATATACCCAGTAATGGGATTGCTGGGTCAAATGGGATTTCTATTTCTAAGGCCTTGAGGAATCGCCACACCGTCTTCCACAATGGTTGGACTAATTTACACTCCCACCAACAGTGTAAAAGTGTTCCTTTTTCTCCACATCCTCTCCAGCATCTGTTGTCTCCAGATTTTTTAATGATCGCCATTCTAACTGGCGTGAGATGGTATCTCAATGTGGTTTTGATTTGCATCTCTCTGATGACCAGTGACGATGAGCATTTTTTCATATGATTGTTGGCCTCATATATGTCTTCTTTCGTAAAGTGTCTGTTCATATCCTTTGACCACTTTTGAATGGGCTTGTTTGTTTTTTTCCTGTAAATCTGTTTGAGTTCTTTGTAAATTCTGGATATCAGCCCTTTGTCAGATGGGTAAACTGCAAAAATTTTTTCCCATTCTGTTGGTTGCCGATTCACACTAGAGACTGTTTCTTTTGCTGTGCAGAAGCTGTGGAGTTTGATTAGGTCCCATTTGTCTATTTTGGCTTTTGTTGCCAATGCTTTTGGTGTTTTGTTCATGAAGTCCTTGCCTACTCCTATGTCCTGGATGGTTTTGCCTAGATTTCCTTCTAGGGTTTTTATGGTGCCAGGTCTTATGTTTAAGTCTTTAATCCATCTGGAGTTAATTTTAGTGTAAGGTGTCAGGAAGGGGTCCAGTTTCTGCTTTCTACACATGGCTAGCCAGTTTTCCCAACACCATTTGTTGAACAGGGAGTCCTTTCCCCATTGCTTGTTTTTGTCAGGTTTATCAAAGATTGTTTGGTTGTAGCTATGTTGTGTTGCCTCTGATGCCTCTGTTCTGTTCCATTGATCTATATCTCTGTTTTGGTACCAGTACATGCTGTTTTGATTACTGTAGCCTTATAGTATAGTTTGAAATCCGGTAGTGTGATGCCCCTCGCTGTGTTCTTTTTGCTTAGAATTGACTTGGCTATGCGGGCTCTCTTTTGGTTCCATATGAAGTTCAAGGTGGTTTTTTCCAGTTCTGTGAAGAAAGTCAATGGTAGCTTGATGGGGATAGCGTTGATTCTGTAAATTACTTTGGACAGTATAGCCATTTTCATGATATTAATTCTTCCTAACCATGAACATGGAATGTTTCTCCATCTGTTTGTGTCCTCTCTGATTTCGTTGAGCAGTGGTTTGTAGTTTTCCCTGAAGAGGTCCCTTACGTTCCTTGTGAGTTGTATTCCAAGGTATTTTATTCTTTTTGTAGCAATTGTGAATGGCAGTTCATTCTTGATTTGGCTCTCTTTAAGTCTGTTATTGGTGTAGAGGAAGGCTTGTGATTTTTGCACATTGACTTTATATCCTGAGACTTTGCTGAAGTTGCTTATCAGTTTCAGGAGTTTTTGGGCTGAGGCAATGGGGTCTTCTAGGTATACTATCATGTCATCTGCAAATAGAGACAATTTGGCTTCCACCTTTCCTATTTGAATACCCTTTATTTCTTTTTCTTGCCTGATTGCTCTGGCTAGAACTTCCAGTACTATATTGAATAGGAGTGGTGACAGAGGGCATCCTTGTCTAGTGCCGGATTTCAAAGGGAATGCTTCTAGTTTTTGCCCATTCAGTATGATATTGGCTGTTGGTTTGTCATAAATAGCTTTTATTACTTTGAGATATGTTCCATCGATACCGAGTTTATTGAGGGTTTTTAGCATAAAGGGCTGTTGAATTTTGTCAAATGCCTTCTCTGCATCAATTGAGATAATCATGTGGTTTTTGTTTTTGGTTCTGTTTATGTGGTGAATTACGTTGATAGACTTGCGTATGTTGAACCAGCCTTGCATCCCTGGGATGAATCCTACTTGATCATGATGAATATGTTTTTTGATTTGCTGTTGCAATCGGCTTGCCAATATTTTATTGAAGATTTTTGCATCTATGTTCATCATGGATATTGGCCGGAAGTTTTCTTTTCTTGTTGGGTCTCTGCCGGGTTTTGGTATCAGGATGATATTGGTCTTGTAGAATGATTTGGGTAGGATTCCTTCTTTTTGGATTATTTGGAATAGTTTCAGAAGAAATGGTACCAGCTACTCTTTGTGTGTCTGGTAGAATTCGGCTGTGAACCCGTCTGGACCTGGGCTTTTTTTGTGTGGTAGGCTCTTAATTGCTGCCTCGACTTCTGCCCTTGTTATTGGTCTATTCATAGTTTCAGCTTCCTCCTGGTTTAGGCTTGAGGACACAGGAGTCCAGGAATTTATCCATTTCTTCCAGGTTTACTAGTTTATGTGCATAGAGTTGTTTGTAATATTCTCTGATGACGGTTTGAATTTCTGTGGAATCTGTGGTGATTTCCCCTTTATCATTTTTTATTGCACCTATTTGGTTGTTCTCTCTTTTCTTTTTAATCAATCTGGCTAGTGGTCTATTTTGTTGATCTTTTCAAAAAACCAGCTCTTGGATTTATTGATTTTTTGGAGGGTTTTTCGTGTCTCAATCTCCTTCAGTTCAGCTCTGATCTTAGTTATTTCTTGTCTTCTGCTGGGTTTTGAGTTTTTTTGAACTTGCTCCTCTAGCTCTTTCAATTTTGACGATAGGGTGTCAATTTTGGATCTCTCCATTCTTCTCATATGGGCACTTATTGCTATTATACTTTCCTCTAGAGACAGCTTTAAATGTGTCCCAGAGACTCTGGCATGCTGTGTCTTCGTTCTCATTGGTTTCGAAGAACTTCTTTATTTCTACCTTCATTTCGTTGTTTATCCAGTCAACATTCAGGAGCCAGTTGTTCAGTTTCCATGAAGCTGTGCGGTTCTGGGTTGGTTTCTGAATTCTGAGTTCTAACTTGATTGCACTATGGTCTGAGAGGCTGTTTGTTATGATTTCAGTTGTTTTGCATTTGCTGAGCAGTGCTTTACTTCCAATTATGTGGTCAATTTTAGAGTAGGTATGATGTGGTGCTGAGAAGAATGTATATTCTGTGGATTTGGGGTGGAGAGTTCTGTAAATGTCTATCAGGTTTGCTTGCTCCAGGTCTGAGTTCAAGCCCTGGATATCCTTGTTGATTTTCTGTCTGGTTGATCTGTCTAATATTGACAGTGGAGTGTTAAAGTCTCCCACTATTATTGTCTGGGAGTCTAAGTCTCTTTGTAAGTCATTAAGAACTTGCCTTATGTATCTGGGTGCTCCTGTATTGGGTCCATATATGTTTAGGATCGTTAGCTCTTCTTGTTGTATCGATCCTTTTACCATTATGTAATGGCCTTCTTTGTCTCTTTTGATCTTTGTTGCTTTAAAGTCTATTTTATCAGAGATGAGGATTGCAACTCCTGCTTTCTTTTGCTCTCCATTTGCTTGGTAAATGTTCCTCCATCCCTTTATTTTGAGCCTTTGTGTATCCTTGCATG